CTACACGTATCCGGATATTTTTGAATCCGCGACTGTTTTCTGAGGCTTCTTTCTATGTCAGACGGAATTTAAACGAGCCAACTAGTCACTGGTTAGCGTTGGTGAGACAATTTTGTGAGGGAAAGATAATAGCCTGCGTGCAGACGATAACTAAACTCTGATTAGTACCGTCTGCGAAGCAGCGCAGAGATCCTTGTTCTGGACCCCCAACGCACTCAACGAATTACCGGAAGTGCGTTTCGAATTCCCCTTCAACCTGATTGGCGATCACGACAAACAAAACAAAGGCCTTTTTTAACTGACCAATCGTGGCGCGTACTCAAATCTGGGTACACAGCTGGAAGTCCAGAACAAGGATTTCGGCGCTGTTTCGCAGACGGAGTTAACCAGAGTTTAATTTCGTCTGCGCGCAGGCTAGAAAGATAATTGAAGAAAAAGGGCGAGGAAATTTTTGCATGAGCCGAATATCGCTTTACAAAGTAGCTGACGAAATGAGAGTGAATCCGGATACGTCTGAAAGCCCAAATTCGATTTGAACATACAACGTGTGGAAGTGGAAATATTTGAATCCGAAAAGAAAAATATCCGAATACGTGTAGCCGGGGGGGGGGCGGTACTCCCTTTTATAAGCCATAGAGATATCTGTCGCCCTAAAGGGAAGGGTTTTAGCGCCGTTTTGGTCTGAAAACGGGTATAGATTTTGCCCATTTTGGTCTGGAATCTGATATGGTTTACGAAGGAACTACGGTTGTGTATCAATGTGTTCGTCGTTTCAATTCCAAATGACTAAGAAAGGAGGTGTAATATGCAAATTCAAAATGGAGTTTGAGAAATCTTTTTATTGCGGTTTTTATCTCAGCAATGATGACATAATTTCTCTTCTATGTAAACATGTGATGTTGCGTTTCGTGACCACTTCCAGGTCTGAAAACGGGCATGGGTTTCAGAGGCCAGGTCTGAAAACGGGTGTGGAAATTGACATTTTTGTCTGTAATAGGGTGAGGAGAACGGGGCGGCACACCCCCACCAAGAACACCCAGGAGTGCCCCCTCCCCGGGACGTGTGGACGGGGCCAAAAACAGCTATATTTTCATGACATAGCTCCTTTAAGCGTTCTGACGTCTGTGATATTGCTCGGCAGGTCTAGCAGGTCTCTTTTGCAGGTATTCGAAAGGAGAATACCACGGAAAACTGAGAGGCATTTGCCAGCAGGGAAAGATTTTAATGTACTTGTATTCGAGGACCTTCAGTGAAAAAAGGAGAGTTTCAGTCATCAGATATTGAGCACATTAAATTGAAGTAAAAGAAGAAAATGGTGAAACTTGGGTTAAGTTTTTGCATAGTTATTAGAGGAGACTGGTTATGAAAAGCGGCAAACATCAATGATAAAAACAACAGTGCTGCAGTTTATGTTCAAAGCACCGTGAAAGTGCACAATCCTTTGTTTTCTGTTGGCAAATTGTTACGGAATAAATTAACGCAACGTTTTTATTGGTCAATACAATCAACATGATAGGAATTCTTTTGAACGTTGTGCACTTTCAGGTCCACAAAAACATATAACAAAGGAGTCTGACGGGTTTCATAACCATTCCACTCAATTAACTATGGTTTTTGAAATGTTTATTTGACATGCAGGTAGCCTTTAGTGCACGTGACGCCGTGAGCTTTTGAAACGAAACCGAAAGGAGGCCATTTGTGACGGAAGTTTCTTCCACTCTGAAACGAGTTCAGTTCTGCACGAGGACACATTTAAAAAAAAACACTGAAAGACGCAAGACGCTGAGCCGGAACTTTGAACATCGGTGTCGTCTATCACGAGATCAGAATGAATGGCCGAAAGGCTGCTCTCGCGACGGGAAGTTTTCTGGCGTTCGGAATTCTCTTAATAGTTTTACAGCAGCCAACTGGAAGACCTGTCACGGACTCTGATTTCAAACCTATTCCATACACTCACCTAGCAAAGTGTGAGCGAAGCACTCAAGGAGAGATCAACTGCCCTGACATTCGTCACGAAGGAAAAACTCGGCTTCGCCAAGCTCAACTTGTGCTTACAAGGATTTTAAGAATCTTTGATCTCATCGCTAAAAAACATGGCATCAGATACTGGTTACACAAAGGAACTTTGTTAGGCGCTGTACGGCACAATGGACATATTCCTTTCGATAACGACGTAGATATCTGTATTCCCAAAGCTGACTTCGAAAACTTCGTCGAAAACGGCACGAAAGACCTCCCCGATGACATATTTTTTCAAACTGAAGAAACGGACCCTCATTGGAAAGTTCCGTATGTGAGCGGAATGCTGGGAAAGCTACGTGACACACGAAGTTGTTTAAAGTCTTGTAGCGGAGGTTGCAAATTTAATGACGGGTTAATGCTGGACATGTTTGTTGTGGAGAGTGATTCAAGCGGTAATTTCATAGAGGTCTACACTTCCCGAGTGTGGTTTCTACGAGGGTATATCTACGCTCCATTTGTAAGAACACCGAGCGACATTTTCCCCCTTGCTCAAGTAAATTTCGATGGCTTTTCTCTTCCAGCTCCGCGAAAATGGAAGAAAATTCTAAAGTCACTCTACGGTGATGATTTTATGACCGTCCGTAAAAGGCAGTCCCTTGGGCATGTTGTTACAGAGACACTTCACAGATGCAAAGAGATACAAAAATAGTACTCATTTGTATTTTAGTATTGCATTATAAATGTCGTGGCGGCGTGGGTTTGACTTCCTTTGACAACTTCTTCTCAATATGATGACGAGTGGAAAGTAGTAGAAACGGTGGTTACGTGACTCCCGGGGGGGGGGGGGGGGGGCGGGGACCCCGGATTTCAAGTGTCGATTGACGACAATGATCGAAGGATGTTCTTGGGTTTGAAATGTTCTATTCCGGAATGTTTTGGGTAGGATAATTTGGCAAGTATTTTTTTGGGTGGTTTGATTTAAGTGTAGAGATTTTTTGGGTATTCTGAACAATCTGTTTAGATTCGTGGTTTCGTGCCCGCGTATCCCTGCGGCGGGGTAGTTGTGCGAATAAAGTACACATTCAGTTTCTAATGTTTATATTTTTCGTGTTGTATCATTTAATGCTTTCTGGAAATTTTAAGTCTCGGAAATTCGGCATGGACGTTTTTGGGGGTAAATTTTGGGTCCAAGGACTTTTTGGGGTTTGGATTTCTACCCTCATTTGATCATGCCGGTCACTTAAATCCCGAGTACTCCCCTGGGGCATGACTACCTCGATAGGCGTGGGTGAACTGAACTTTGAGATTAGCGATATTGGCCTTGGTTTTAAGAGCGAGAGCCGAATCAGGTCCCCCCCCCCCCCGGGGGATTTAGGGTTGTCCTTTTTTACGCGACGTATGTGCAACGCAGGTGGAGTTTTGAACCCCGGCTAGCGGCTCTAGGGCTTTATATAAGTCTACCTCAGTGCTAGGGTCAACACAACAGGCTCTGCTAGGAATAGGAAACTTTTCCCCCTTCATGTATGACCAGTAATCTTAAAAATTTCAACTGAGTCACGATTTTTGAGTGCAAAATACCAAGCACATATCTGAACAATTTTTAGGTATTTCCAGCATACGATGGCATGTTCGTTTTTTCGTGAATTCAATGTTTTTTCGTGATCACCCGTGACGAAACACGATAACCAAACTTTTCGTAGACAAGACTCAGGTGCTTGTCAGTCGTCTCCTTCCACTAACCCGTGGGGCAGGGGGGGAAAGTCTTATCTCTCTCCCCCGTGCCCCACAAATTAGTGCGTGTACTCAGGTTTCGTGATTTAGTTTACATTGATAGAGCGGGAAAATGTGCTTTAGGTAATTATCGTACTACAACTTTGATGATGAATCAATGATGAGTAAATGGAAAAATACTATCCTAGCAAACCAGACTGAAAAGATTCAAACGTTCCAACTAAGGGACGCACTTGACCATGAATGCATAACAATAAACAGCGGGTCAATTGTCAATCAGTTTTCTTTTTGTTTGATCCCAGCTACACCACTATCAACGGCCAACTTCAGATAAAAGTTGAATTTGGCATTAGTTTGTATTGGTTGACATTGTACATATGAACATAGTTTATTATTAATGTGGTTAATGTGCATTATTATTAATCACCGTTAGTCTCCTTTGTTATATATTTTCGTTTGCTTTTTGGACCTGACCGTGCACAATGTTCAATAGCATTCCTATCATTTTGAACTTATAGAAACATCGCTTTCATTTATTTTAATTATCGCTTTTAATTTATTCAGTCACAATTGGTGAACAAAAACAAAGGATTTTGCACGGTCAAGGAGCTTCCAACATAAACTACAACACCGTTGTTTTCAACTTTGATGTTTGCCGGCTTTCATAACTAGGTCATAACCTTTTCATATATTTTACTATTACTGGGGCGAACAATATCGTTACGGTTATACCGAGGACTTCTTTATACAGTGAAACCTCGATATAACGAAGTCCCCGGCATAACGAACGATATTTGTTTGCCCCAGTAATTGTATACTAAATGAAAACACTAGATATAACGAAACCTCGTTATAACGAAAAGATTTTGACAGTCCCTTGGCCCTTCGATATATCGAGGTTCCACCGTATAGAGGTTCCCCAGTAATTGTATACTAAATGAAAACACTCGATATAACGAAACCTCGTTATAACGAAAAGATTTTGACAGTCCCTTGGCCCTTCGATATATCGAGGTTCCACCGTATAGAGGTTCCCCAGTAATTGTATACTAAATGAAAACACTCGATATAACGAAACCTCGTTATAACGAAAAGATTTTGACAGTCCCTTGGCCCTTCGATATATCGAGGTTCCACCGTATAGAGGTTTCATTGTTCAACGAACGATATTGTTTACCCCAGTAATTGGTAATAATTATACTCCCAACCGTAAAATCAGTCTTGCTTCTTCCCGTTGTTTTATATGGAGGTGGGGGACCCTAGATAGGTGAGGTAACAAGTGGCGGGTCACCCCACCTATCATGTAAACGTGATCAAAATAAAATGAGAGATTATATGGACAGGCGGGTTACCTCACCTTAACCTGGGTCCCCCACCTCCATGTAAACAGGCCCTTAGTTTTCAATGACTATGTTATTAACTTGATAGTCATGGTGTTTCAAATGTAAATTTCTTGAGTTTCGATTCTACTAATGCATTCATTGAACAAAGTTCGATACACAGAGTCCCTGGGATCTAAACAGCTTAAATCCAACTTGATGCAAAGAAACCGCCACTTTTAAAATTATATGATCAAACCAAGCCGACCACCTAACTATTGTGTTTACAATAAAATTTACCGAAAGGATAACTGCAAGACTAAGACCTTTAAATCGGTACATATAGCTTCGTCCTAGAATAACCTCACATTGGGATCAGCACTAATTGAGCCACGTAAGTTGCATTCAATTTTCTCCCACGATTAAATGAGGTAAAGGCGCACCCGAGCCAAAGGCCCACACGGCCGGAGCTTATCCCGGTTTCTTTAGCATGAAGCATGCCTAGGAGTATTGCTACTTCCCCTGGCCGGGATGCGAGTCCATCACGGGTTAAACGGCGACTTCGGGAGAGTTTACTCACAGGCTATCACCCCCCAGCAGTATGTCGCCGGTGCAGTAGACTACGAGTAGTCCCCCATTTTTCCTCAGGGATAGTAGAGCGAGCGAAACGCGAGCGGGCGTGAAAATCACCCCACGCGAGAAAAGGCGCCTGGGGTGATTTTCACGCGCGCTCGCGTTTTGCTCGCTCTACTATCCCTGAGGAAAAATCGGGGACTACGCGTAGTCTACCGGTGCAGTTGTCCCTTTCGTAAACGGTCGCTACCATTTTTAAGACACTTAGAAAATTTTTTACCTGTTATTGGAAGTGTTTCTATTAAAAAGAAAGAGAATCGCATCCCAGGGTCGAACCTGGACCTCGAACCCAGACCTTTCGAATCCTCATCTCTCTCCCTTACAACTGTACCACAACTCGAACAATGTCCACGACACTTTACTCCGACTACTTTCAGAAGGAAATGATTATATTGATTTACCCGACTTAGTAACAAAAATTTCTTGAAAACTCGGCTTCTTATATTTGCAACATACAAGATTGTAAACTTGATTTAATTTACTTTATTTTTTGCTCTTTTTCTCCAGTCTTACTTGTGAGTTACTTATTATATAAAATACGTGTAACCACTGCTCTTCTCGACTAGCTAATTGCTATACTGCAGGTAGTGGATATTGCTTGCAAAATTTGAAATAATTAATACATAGTTGAACTGTTGAACAGTTGATTCGATAAACCGAAACTAATTGTAATAAGGAAAGGAAGACTATCTATAGTATCGTTCCATTGTTGGTTTTCACATGACGTCACTAAACTTCAAACTACAAAACTATCGATCCTACTGAGATTTTACTTTCATGGTATATTAGAGTGGCTTCAAAGGGGTTCTTGGTTTTGTAATAGTGTGCGCTTGAAATTCTAAGCTTTCGCGTAACACAGCATTTACATGACGGCCGAGAGAGCTGTCATTTAGGTTAAAAAAGTGACTTTTTTCGAGGAATTTTACTATCTAAACAGTTCAAGTATTAGAAAAAGTCTTACTTAAATGTTTATGAGTTCCTCTAGGAGTAAATTCACGCTTTTTTAGCAAAACTTGGTAACAGATGTTTCTGTTGGTTTCCGTCCGCCATGTTGGAGCTCATCCTGATGAGCTCCAGCATGGCGTCTCCATACAAAGCTCTATAAATTTAGGTAAAACATTTCCTCGGTTATCTCGTATACCAATTATTCCTTCGACCCAAATCTTGGCGAGGGTTTTTGTATATTTACCTCCTTTCATTTCCCACATTCTGGACTTTATCTGTCGAATGGTTTTGATTTTTGTTTTCATCTATTTTGCATGGCGTGACACTGAAAACCAGCAATATCGGCCGTATTACCCTTAACAAGTTTATCACAGCATTACTCCAGGCAGGATGAGGGGGAGTTGTACGCCTAGGAGTTATTGGTGGGTTTGTGTCGCCCCGTTCTGCAAACCCATGCCATAATGATTAGCCCCAGTAAGAGCGAAACAGCTGCGGTGACATGGTTGTGCGCATGCGTAAGGTAATGGCCTTACCGCGGCGTACGTGTGCTTCAGTGCTAATATTGGTATCTTGGCCCGGGGGAGGGGGGGGTACTCCCTTATAAGGGCTTAATGGGGACGTGCGGCCAGCCAGGGTATGTTTTTCGGGATTTTTGTCTTAAACACGGTATCGAATTTATCATTTTTTGTCTTAATCAGGATATCGATTTATCAGTTTTTGTCTTAAACAGGGTATCGAAAATCGGAATTCTGTATTAAACAGGGTAGGAAAATCAGCGATATTTGTCTTAAACAGGGTCAGGGTATGAGGGGCCGCGCCGCACCTCCCCACCCAGGGATATATCGAGTACCCCCCTCCTCGGGTATCTTGGCCGTGTTTCTGCAAATCCAGACCCTCGTTTCAGACCAAAAGACGTCATTTTCACACCACCAAAATCTGGCGCCTAAAAACCCATACCCGTTTTCAAACCTGGCCTCAGAAAGACGAAATCGGTTTGCCAACTCTCTATCTGGCCAAAGCATGGAGTCAACACAGTGTCTTTAAGAATTTTGCACTCACTGAATGTCCTTGGCTCTCGTTCCATTCTTCGCGCGGCCAAAACCGAAACTCCAGTTTCTCGTCCTTCCTCGGTATTTCTTTGATTCGAAACCACACGGAAACGCTTGCTATTCATTTATTTAGTAAGAAAAATATCTTTATACGCTCTCGTGGTTCCCTTGAAAATTATAGTTTAGACTATGAAAGTGAAGAATGATCATCGCAGTAAATTTTCCAATTTAAGCAATTGGAAAGAAGAAGCCTGAAAAAATCAGGGCTTCAACGGGATTCGAACCCGTGACCTCCGCGTTACCGGTGCGTTGCTCTACCAACTGAGCTATGAAGCCACACATTGGGAGCGAGGTCAATTTATTGAGTTCATATCTCCCGTGAGGAGTGAAATGATGTGAAGTATATATGAAATAGTGCTTCACTTTCATCTATAACCGCAGTTCAAAAATGAATTATTTCATGTATACTTCACATCATTTCACTCCTCACGGGAGATATGAACTCAATAAATTGACCTCGCTCCCAATGTGTGGCTTCATAGCTCAGTTGGTAGAGCAACGCACCGGTAACGCGGAGGTCACGGGTTCGAATCCCGTTGAAGCCCTCATTTTTTCAGGCTTCTTCTTTCCAATTGCTTAAATTGGAAAATTTACTGCGATGATCATTCTTAGGCTTTCATCTACAACCGCAGTTCAAAAATGAATTATTTCATATATATTTCACATCAGTTTAGACTATAATGGGCACAATGCACCCGTGTTTAGAGCAAAACGGTAAAAGACTCCATACTCTTTGGGGCGGCTCACACCTACATAGCAAGGTAGAATAATATTGTCTCTTGACATATAAGGGATATTACCGCCGCCCTTCCCCCTCCCTCCAAGGCCCGCTTTTCCCACCGGTAGCTATTAGGGTACATACCGTGCTGCACGAAATTTTTGCAGGAGTTTATTTTTGCGGATTGGCGATTTTTTGTGTTTTGCGGGAACTAATTTTTGCGATTAGGACAGATTGGCTTTTCTTGCTGGGAATTAATTTTTTGCGATTTTCAGAAAGTACCCAGTACCCGGGCCCAGTACCAAGCGTTGATAATATTTTCGTTTATATTGAGTTCGTGTAATAGAAATACATATTTTCCAGCAGTAAATCAGTACTTTGTTGTTTCTGAATGAAAGAGACAAGTTGTGATTGAACGGACTCACGATTTCTTAGTACAGTATTTTTGTGTAACGAATTTAAGTCACAGAGTATTTACCCCGGAGTAAATTTTTGCGGGAAAAATGTTCATTTTTACTTGCGGGAACTTATTTTTGCAGATCGCCGGAAAAACCGCAAAAATTAGAACCCACAAAAATTTCGTGCCACACGGTATATAGGTAATCAACAAGATAAGGGTGCCCGTAATTATCCAAGCCAGGAGCCTATGACCCTGGTGATGGGCTCCTGTCCGAGCCAAAAGGCTGGGCTAGGAAAACTGGCGCCTGCTACGCAAGCTAACATTTCTTCGACGTCCACTGTACTATGATCTGGTGAAACTTTCTAATGGGGCTTTTTATGGTGAACTGGAGTAGACTCGATTGATTCCCTTTTTTAACCTTTCGAAAGAGTGCTTAAAAGTTGAACTCCAGGAAAAATCACCTACATTTTACAGATTGGACGAGAATAAAAAAACTCGATGAAGATTGAAAGATGACTTTTCACGCGAAAAAGTTCTTGAATTGACTACATGTAAATTGCACAGGAGCGTACGTGAACTTTTCCACACTTTTCAAATTGAATATTGATTAAATTTTTATAGATTAATACCCATTAACGAAGAGGAACTAATTTTTAAAAATAGACTCAGAGGCTGTTAGCCAATTTTGTCTTTTTCCGGAAGCGCGAAAGTAACAAAGAGTTTCAAAAGTGCCACATTGCGTAAAAGCGCGAAAATTGTTCCGTTTCAACATGTTCAAGAATGGGTGAAGTAATTTTCCGGAAGTGTTGATTTAGGAATGAAAAGAGAGTCGGCAAAATGTTTACTCTGTAGGCTACGTATATCAATTAAAAGAGCCGAGAATATAGCTACAGACATCAATCATTAATCCCAAAGTAAAGTTTTTTCAGAGGCCAAACAAACAAAATGCAGCAATTGACCTGAGTCATGCCAACCTAAATTCTAATTGCACGTAGGACAAGCATTCTATTTACAGCGCCATCCGGAGCGGATGTTTTAGCAACGCGAAGCAACTTGAAAAAGCGGAATTTCACTATGTTTTGAATGATATGAGCAACCACAACGTAGGAATTCGGTCCGAAGCCATGCCTATCGACGTAAAGAGTGATAACACTGCCAAAGACCCCGCGAGCCGAAGCACGACGGTGAGTCGCGAGAGTAGCTTTAGTAGTCTCGAGCTTGGAGCTTCAAATTCCGTAAGCAGAGAAAGCAGTTTTTCAAGCAGCGGGAGCGGTTTTTTCGAAGGCGGGTCGTCAAATCCCGCTTCGAGAACAAGCTCGTGGAGATCGGACGAGGACCAGTTGATATCCAGCGTAACAGATCAACAATATCAAAGATTGCATAACGCGAGAGCAAGATTTCGCAAAGCGAGGCAGCCACCTTCTAGCGAATCGTCCTCCACCGAGTTATTCCAAACGCCACCCGAACGTGCCAGGCCACTGGCGAACTATAAAAGACCTGATATTCACGGGCGAAGTTGCTCCGAACCCGAAATAGAATTGTCTCCGATTTCAAGCCGAAGACAGCCAAGACTTTCCCCAACCAGCCCCGAAGGACTGATTATCTCTACGCCTCCTGCTCAAGGATTTATCGAATACAGAATGCGCTCACGGTCTTTTAATGGATCTGAACACAGCAACGAGGAAAGGCCAGATGTAAAAGCTCTCAAAGACTTTTCTCGTACTTATTTAGAAGTCCCCGGCAATGGCATGATTAAATGTCGAGGGAGCTCTCCAGTCAGCGATCAAAAAGCAAAGGTAAACTAAATTAGTTCGATTTTGTTAGTTGATCTTTTGTTCCAGAGTACAAGAAATCTTTTAAAATACTGATTTTCTTCAGTTTCTATTATTTTTCAAGTATAATTGTGTACTATATGAATGTGCAAAGTGTTATGGCCAAGCTCAAGTACTGTGCAGTATGTTAAATTTGCATGAATGGTCACACTTCAGAATTTCATCACAGACCTTGAACAGACTTCAGTGTACTGCATCGAATAAATAGCACCACAGAACAGTACTGATTTTCTCAGTTACTTTGGTTTAAATGGTCACAAAATAGGATTTTATCCACCCACGCAAACGCTAGAACCACCTCGAATGTAATATAATACTGAACAGTACCACAGGAGGTTACAGCTCAGTAGCTTTCATTTAAATGGTTACACTTAAGTACTTTCCGAAAAAGTTAGAATCATCTTTTATAGCCTAATAAATAGTGCCGCTGACTTCCCAAGATTTCCGACCATTTTCCGAAGACTTCCGAGCGTGACCGAAAATTTCCGAAGATGTTCTGACGACTCTTTGAGCACCTCCGAAGCTATTTAAAAGGCGACAATTTTAGCGTGTTTGGAAACAGTTAGAACACAGAGTCAAAATTAAGGGCCTTTCTGGAATATTTTTGTGGAAGTTGAATTGAATTTTCGTTATCAACCATTTTTTAAAGAACAATTTGTCCGGATTTGGGAGTCAGGGGTGGGAAATTGTCCTTGATATGTGAGATCGATGTCTTGTGCCTGCAGGCGCGAGACTCACGCTTAATGCGTGCGTGCTGGCAGGTTTAAGTTTACCAGAAAGTTCTCTTCCGCCCTCGTAGACGTTGACGTTAACGAAGACAACTTGAATAATGATGAATCAGTACTGAAAGGAAATCTGTAAGTAATAAAAGCGACGTGCTCTCAAGGATTAAGTTTTACCCCGTGACCTTGTCTTTTGCGCAAGTCAACTAATTTGTAAACTAAACATTGCTTTGTTTCCGAATTTGGAACAGATCTCAGGGAAGCAAGTTTCATATTTTAATTATTACTATTATTTTTTTTATCTCAACAGAACTTGCCAACGGATGTAGTTTCAGAAAACGAAACCGATGAGCTAAGAAAGGTAATAGAAAAGTAAAGTATTGAGTTTGCGATGACCGCTGAATAATAGCACTGACGACGCATTATTTCAATATTAGTCTCCATTTGAAGTTAATATATAGAGCCTTTTCACTTACGTGGCCAGCATCTTGTCAATTTATTGGAACGAACGACATTTTTCACATAAGAAAAAGAAAAGGTTGAACTCCCATTAGGGGCTCCCGTAAGGGATGGGGGGAGGAGGGGGGCTCCGGATTTCAAGTGTCAGGGATGATGGAATGGGGGCAAAAATCAAACCCCAAAAAATCCATGGACCAAAAATTAACCCCCAAAACCTCCAATGCAGAATTTCCGAGCCTCAACAAGTTTGGTTGTACTTTATTCGCAGAACTATGCGGTCGGGATTACAAACTCGTTTCCAGGGCTCTTTCCTTTCAGATTGTTTTGAATACCCAAAAAAATCCCAACTTAAACCGAGCCACCCAAAAAAGTAAACGGAATCAAAAATTTCAACCCCCCAAAAAATACTCCGATCATCCGTGTCACTTGATGTTCGGGGTACACTTAACAGTAAAGGACCCCAAAAGAATATGCCACAGGACATAGGATATATAGGAGATCGATTGTTGAAAAATAAACGCCTGTTCTGCATTCTAAACCGAATCACCCTGACATCCTTACACTCTCCTAGTTTTCTTTGTCGCAGCAAATACTAGTCCTATACATTCACTAATAAATAAAATTCATAAACACTCGAAGCAAATTTTCTTGATGAGATTCTACCACGTGATCTCCGAATAACTGCCTACAAATAATGGTCAGCTCATGCGCAATGTCGTCCAACCGTGTTTGGCTGCAAAAAATATTCTGCTTATGGGTGAATAAAATCATGTTTTTCTCCTTCTTGCGATCGCTCTTGCGTGAAAATGGTAGGTCGCTTCGCTTCCCGAAGATAATCATTACAAAACAAACTCGGTGATCGAATGATAAAACAACTATTGAACTCGGTTATCACAAAATATCGTGACATGTCGGCTTCGGCAAATAATTGACCTGCTCCCCTCTAACAAATCACGATATTTTGCTCAACCTCTTCCAATAATTGTTAATCATCTTTGGTTTATTCACCAACTTAATAAGAGCGTTCTGTCACACATTCTCCCTATAACAGGAAAGGAATGATTTGCGCGAGGAACTAGAAAACCTCAGACGTGAAAGTGAGAGGTTGCAGTGCGAGCGTGACGCCATGAAGCTGGAGCGTGACACCTTATTACGAGAAAAAGAACAGCTACAGGCGGAACTCAACAACAGAAATGATGTCATACACCATCTTCAAGATCACGTGGTTAGTATATTGCCTCCGACAGTAATTTGGCCATTGAGTTCATATATATGTTGCAGTTAATTTTTTAACTGGGTTACTTTTTATTTTTCTATTGTTTTTGGGTATGATAATGTATGCTAATGAATTTCAAACAAAGGAAAAACAAAAATTAACTAAAATAAAAAATTAACTGCAAAATATATAACATAGCAAAAACTGGCAGAGCATTGGTGAAACTTGAAACTTCTTTTAAGCGAAATAACCCGTTCATTTAATGGTACTGCTGCTGCTGCCGCTAATGCTACTATAGAACAACTACTACTGCTACTACTGCTAGACTGCTTCTACTACCACTGCTACTGTTGCTGCTACCGCTACTGCTACTACTTCCACGGCTACCTCTACTGCTGCTACTACTACTGCATGTTACTGCTGCCTCTGCTACCGCTTCCACTGCCATTGCCACTGCTGTTCCTACTACTACTGCTCTTGCTACTGCTACTACCACCGTTCTTCTGATACTCTTACTGCTATTGCTACTACTACTACTGCTGCTATACTGCTACTGCTACTAGTCGACAAATGCGTTCTGATAACATTATACCTTTGCACTAAAGAGGTGCTTTTCTACAAAAGGGATGCAAAATCGTTCCTTAAGAACTAATTTACTGTTTCTTTTCTTTCAGACAATGTCCTTAGTGGTTAACGACCCAAACCCTTTTCCAAAAAAACAGCAAAGATCAAAGTCAGATATACGACGTCCTGCATTCTACTTCCCGGAGGAAATAACAAAAACGAACGCCTATACTTGTCTATAAATAAGGTTTATTTTACTGGCTAAAACCAAGCATCGAAACGTCGTAGTGTATCGAACATTATTATCGTACATTTGTTTGCGACAAGCGCGCGAACCATTTCAAACACGCTAGAGAATAGCACAGTGGTGATAGTCAACGCGGTCAACACGCGATTGACTTCCGTTTTCCTAATCCACAGTTGCAATCAATATAGTGGGGGAGGGGGGTAGGGGCTGGGGCGGGGAAGTCAAAAACCAGTCTTTAACCCCAATAATTTGGCCATATATCAAACTCTATTTCAGATATAAATCGATATAAAGTCGCTTGGATCTTAGCCTCATCCTCATTAAGGGCTGTGTTTAAACTGGAGCGATCAGTTTCAGTTTTTATTTCTTTTTAAAATTTCCTGTTGAAAAACTTTTTGAAAGCATTACCGCCAAATAGACCTCTCCCGTCTGTCCCTTGGAACAGTAGCTAAAGTGGCCATTATAAAAAGTAATAGTGCAGCCATTGCTTTCTTTTCTTTTCTCCTTTACTTTTCCTTCGCTGGTGTGATTTTTGAGCTTATCGGGCGCAAAGCCTGTCCAGCCCTTTTTCACTCAACTCGCTGCAAATTTTGTCAGGTTCCCTTTAAACAAATCGGCTGGAATGACAGAATCTAGGTATGTGTACGTGTATACCGTACTCATGTTATCATGTTTAATCAGAGAACAGTAATAATAAAGAACGATAATGATATGATTTTTGTCTTACTTAATTGGCAATGAAATTCTAGTTTAAGTGATACCTGGTGAAAGCATTGAACCAAATATGGATGGAAAAAATACTGACACAAAACACAAGCTTACAAGTTTGCTTTTTCGCCCTCTTAACGTTTCATTAATGATATTTACCACATTCTTCGCATCTCGAAAGCGGAGAAAAGGACTAAAGTTTTAATTTCACCGATAAACAGGATAAATGCCGGCAAGAACAACAATTTCAGTATCAAGGCTTTGAACGTAATCAAAGGGCAGACATCTGTTAATTTCTTGACAATTTTAAAAACATTAAAAGCTATTAAAGTAATTTCAAATGAGATGCTCATATTCTGTTAATGGACAGCAAACATATACATATACAGCTATTTCGAGAAAGGTTGTCGAAAAAAGTGCACGCGAAAATCCCGAATGGTATTATGGGTGGTGAATGACATACTCACAGGTTATCGTCGTTAGTGTCCTTCATGTAGATCACAGGCAAAAAAGGGCCATCTATTGGCTGCTTTATTCCCAGGCTACAAAGGCACTTCTAATATAGGATATATATATAGGTGCTGAATATTTCCCTATAGAGTGTTTTCACATGACGTCACGGCGGCCATATTGGTGTCCCAAAACAATGAAAAGGCGGCCATGTTGGTGTCCCAACCAATCCTCTGGGAGTTGAACTCTTTTCTTATGCAAAAGCTTTCTCTTGTTTCAATACATTTGCGTAGATGCAGGCCACGTGAGTGAAAACACTCTATACCATAATCTGAAAAGAGAATGATTCGAAATTTGACGTAAGGTAATGTAAGGTAAGGTAACTTCCTTCAGTTACAATCACATTCCGTTATAACGTATAAGAATCTAACTACCTCACTAAACTACAGTAGAACCCCGCTGGTAACTCGAGCTCTGAAGGGGAACGAAAAACAGTTCGAGTTATCGGAGTAAATTTCAGTGAAATTTTGATCAAGGCAAAGGAAATTTAGCTCGAGTTAGCGGGGAATTCGAGTTGTCCGAGTTTGAGTTATCGAGGTTCTACTGTACACTGAAAACTCAAAAGATCTGTTTCAGCCCCAAAGTGCTAATTCGGCCTGAGCCCCTCCTGGAGCCATTTGCGTACAATTTAAGCCAAAACAGCCCCATCAAAAGTGCGAAACGGCCCCATTTTTAGGTCTAAAACAGGTCTTTCTGATTTACAGGGTAGATTTTATTTCACATAAAAACTAAAACGGTAAAAAACAACCCTGCTTTACAAGAAAGCCGTGTGTAAAATTAAGTATTGCTACTGAATTATCAGTGAAGTAATATCACTATCTAAATTAAGGCTTTTTAACTTTGCTTCAAATTTATTTACGGATGTCGATTGTCTGACGTCCAAAAGCAAGCTGACCACAGCACACCTTCGCTTTGACTAAGGCTCCGTTTATAAAATTCAGTGCGGGGTTGGGAATAGCGAGCTGGCATTCCAACGCGAAGTCAGATACGCTGGAGCCGTGTTATTTAAAATGTTATGCATCATTATTGCTTTACTAACTACGCGCTGATGGACCGACAAGTTTTGACCACTTTTTAAATTTTCAAACGTTTCAAGCGGAATCCCTTATTCCCGGATTCGATTTTAGGAGGCAAATTTACTCTATTTACTCAGTTTACAACACCAGGTTTTTGTTGTTTCACTCCTCACAGTCGGCGAAGCACCACGAGCACCTGCTCCTCCCCTAAGCTAACATTAACACTTACTTCTCACTTAGGGAAAATGTTGGCTTAGGGGAGGGGTAGGTGGGCAGTTTCCTAGAAACGTATGATGATCCGAAAAGACGTGCGAAGTGTGCGCTAGGAAAACAGTTTTAAATCCCGTAAAATCAGCTACTTAATCCAGGGTTCTTTCTTTGCATTCTGCTTTCTGGGTTAAAACTATCTGAAACTTAGCCTGCGTGGCCGGCGTTGAAAGGGGAAGGGGCAGCCTAGTCCCTAGGCGTTCTCGGCTCGGTCAATCCTGGACTCTACCGTAAGCTGTGACGTCACCGAGAGATACACGCCGAGAACTCTCCGAGTTCTCTCGCCCGCTCTTTCCCAGACTGCGCGCGGACAACGGGGCAAGAGAGAACGCCTAGGGACTAGGCTGGGAAAGGGGGAATTTGGGCGCGCGAGAGAGCGTGTGGGGCGCTCCTCCCTCGCGCGTGGTCTCGCGCCCTAATTCCCTTCCGCTACCCTTTCGAACGCCTGTCACGCAGGCTATCTGAAACTATGACTTGTAACCTTAAATTCGCATTGATAGAAGAATTACCCGGGGTATAAACTGCTTCTGTTATTCACTTGCAAAGGAGACCAGTGCTTTCGAAATTAAAGAGTCTAAAATTTCAGTCATACAAAACTGAAAAACGAATAATTTCAAGAAAAAGAAGTAGCAAAGGGTTTTCATTTGAATGCCGCATTATAGAATTTCATCGCACCGGCGATATTCTTCTTATATTGAATGACTGGTAGTAAAACTAAAGTAGAATGGCGCATAGTAAATAGGTATATTGCACGATAAGAATTTAAGAGTTCCTATATGATATTGAATTGTCAACGATAATTTTCTTCCCTTTTTTATAGGAGGCATAAGTAACAGCAACGACATTTTTAAAGAGAACCTACAACAAATGACTTTTGCAAGGAAAAACAATGTTATCGCTTTAGTATGTATGCGTTTATATATCTACCCGATTTTTGAAAACCAACCTAACGACATTTGCGGTCATTTGAGTGAAGAGGCGTCAAAAGGCAGGTTTCTTAAGCCCGATAAGCTCCAAAATCACAGTAACGAAGGAAAAGGAAGAAAAAGAAAGAGCGACGGGAAGGTCAAGGAGGAGAAGAGAAATAAAGCAATGGCTGCATTCTTCGTTTTTATAATAGCTACTTTGGAGTTAGTTTTTGGTAAAAAAAAATAAAAAAAACAGGTGAAAAAAGAATGTTTGACGCAAAAGGTCCATTTGGCCATAAAGTTTTCAAAAATCCGGCCAGATATGTATTTTTAACATTTCTTTACTGTCCTTCGCAAATCATGCAATAACGTGAACCCAAATGCATGTTCACCTAGGACTAAAGTAAAACTGTTTTTCCGTTTGTTTTTTTTTTAACTGGATCGCTTTTCCTTCAAATTCATCTCTTAATTAGATACTTTGGTTACATCGAAAAAAGTAGAAAAAGTTGATAAAACAAGTAAGATTGTACTTTACATAGTATTTACAGTGAGGCAATATGTTTAAAACGGTGCACCTAAAATTAATACAAAGATCCCAAACAGACCAAATGCAAGTAGGGTAGGAGTACTACAATTAGGCAACAAAGTTTCAAGAATATAACTATATTCTCAGTATATAGAATTAGATGGAAAAATCTAGCAATGAGCAGGAACCACGAGAGAGAAGAAAACTAAATTCATCAAATATTGAGGAAGCTGAAAATAAACAGCGTGAGAAACAATTAATGGACAAACTAAGGCTTATTTGCTAAATTAGTCAAACAGGGATGAAGCAATTAAAGCGATAAAGAAAACAATTATTTGATTATTTACTAATGACGAAGACTTTCAGCCTCTTTCCGTGTAAATTTAATTCTCTTTCTAGTTCCTTTAGGAACAAAGTATCTTATGATTCAGCATTAAGGAAAAAAACATTTCTGAGGTAATCATGAGTACGCACTTTAAGAGAAAACTTCTTACCTCAAGAAATCACTGTTCTTCTATATATGTTACGAACAAACTGTTCCGTAATGAGCTCCGTCCGTGATGTTTTGTAGTCATTTTTTTTGTAAATGTATCCGCAGACAGATTGGATTCTGTTTCACAGATCTTAGATAAAAATGCTTTTTACTGAAAGTGTGCATTTGATTTAAGGAGCCTCTTTGACGAGGCGAGGAGCATGCGAGAGTTAACATGATACTTTTAAATTTAGTACCACGCAGCAGAGTTGCGCATCAAAGACAGTCATTTAGTTTCGTCTCGACCTTCTTATCTTAAAACCTTAAATACGTTTACCTTGGCCTGTTAAACCACAAACGTACTTTTGAGTCCTCGAGCGTACTTAATCAATGATGCGACCACTTAATGTACATGATGAGACATTCTAGATAAGTAACATTGATTTAGCAATGAAACTCAACTTCCTGATATCTAACCTAAATTTAGCATAGAAAACCAAAATTCGACAGTATCTAAAGCTATGGAAATCTTTGTGGTACTGTACACTCCAAGATTTACAAAAATTAAAATTATTCTGCTTTCTCAAGATTTCTTTGTGGTTTAGTTTAATCATAGTTAATTGGTCGTGTTTTGTGGGAACAATGACCTATTTTACGAGACTGCTGTACAATTATACGAGCAAAATTGAGCATAAAGTTAAAGTAATTGCCTGGGCCAATTGAAACAGTCAAAGCCAAAAGAACTACAAGGGCAGGAGCCTTACGCGTGTCATTGGGCGAGTCTCTTTTGCCTTTTTGCGTTCGTTCTACTAAAAGTGGCGCGAAATTCTTTAGCCAGTCACAAATGGAAGCAATTTACAATGTTTTAACTCGAGAAATATCGAAAAATTAGGTCTTACATACAATTAAAAACCGCTTAATAGTACTGAAATTGAGATCCGTCGACAATTAACGAAACGATATGCTGTTTCAATAAAGTTCCATTGTCGGCTGATAAGATAATTTGAAATGTATATATCGTTTGTAAAAATACAATTAAAGTAAACTAACTTATAAAATTCACAGAGATAAACTAATCATGAGAAAAACATACAGTCTTTAGTCACGAACGTTATTTAAAGACAGTGGAAATAAGACTTTGACGCCAGTCGAAGGGGAACAACGAGCAGAACTGTTATCGTATATCGTAGAAAGGTAAGGGAAATTTCAAATGTTTTAAACTACAAACTTTGGATTCAGAGGGAGACTTTTTGTTACAACGGATTTTGATATTCTTTCTGACACCCAAAGAAGTTCCAAGCTATATATTGCCCAAGACTGAGCTATAAACTAAAATAATTAACGCTCCTAGCACAGTTTCCTCCGTAAAACAGTTCCTTATACTGAGTGGCAAATACGCTGTGGAAGAACTTAGTCTATTGTTAGCTAAGTAGGCTATCACTATGTTTAATGACTATTAGGGCAATGAATCTTTATTCGACCTTCGTTTATTTCCTATCGTACGTAATATCCTCTGCGAAAAAAACTTACTGCAGCAATGTTGTCGACGTTACTGTGTTACCCCGTTCCGCTAATTTAAAGGCACGTGGGAAATTCACTATTCAATTCAATTCAATTCTTTATTTCACACTGTATAAGATAATTACACAAGTGTACGTAGGTAGGAAAATAAAGCAGCTGACAAATAATAATTAACTAAAAGACATTAAGTTCATTTGTGTACAGTGTCCAAAGTAGCAAGAGCTTTCTTGTTGGACACCGTCATGTTCAAATAATCGGCAGCAGTAAAGAGAGGAATGAAATCTTAGAAAATATCAGTGATAGAACATATAAGCAAGGTCAGATTTGGTTGGTTAGAAGATAGGACTTCAATTCTTTCTTAAACTTACGACATGGCAGACACTTGAGACCAGGCAGTACAGGCGGTACACTATATTACGTTACCCTAAAAGCCTAAGATGTTCTTTGCTTTAAGGAACTCAAAGTATCTCCATTATTACACTTCTCAGTTGTCTTTAAGGTTCGAAATACATTTTTCCAGTATTTGTATTTTAAAGATTCCGGCGGAACCTTGCAAGGGATTAAACCTTTCAGCTGGATCTACGCAAATTTCATGACCCAAAAAAATACTTGCAAACTGGCAACAGGAAAGCCAATCAGCTATTAGCTTTGGAATTCACTCTTTCGCCTTAACGTTTTAGGCGGTACTGTGCGTGCTATAAAAAAAAGATAATACAGGAATACACCCACTGCAACCAAGCCTTGCACAAAAGGGCGAAAGAGTTCAATCTTGGTACACTAACATCGTCGCCGTGACGTCACATGAAAAAGAAGGCCCCACCCACTCGATCCACCAGCACTATATTGGATTCATACTTTCAAGCGCAAACACAAAGAAATAAGCTATTTTTTCTCAGTTATTGTTGCAGCCTTTGCAATCTACAATGAATGTCAAGCCAGTTTGGATCTTTGCTGTCTTGTTTCTGGCGAGCGTCTTCACTGAAACTGAAAGCTACTTTGGTAGAGGCAATAATAGAGTGGGCAAACGAACCATCAAACTGCAGGTTAAACATTTTTGTTTTCATTATTTTTTGAAAGTTAACATGATCCGTGCAGTTGAATGAACAACCTAAGCGGTTGAAAAAGAACCTGAAAAATGTCAGGCTTGACCGGGATCGAAGTCTGATCTTTGAGATGACCGGAATCATATTGTGAACTGTGGGCAAAGACTTTTTTTTTTTACCAACGCGGTTTGGGGAAAATCAAATCCCATTGTACAGTCACCTTTTTCTTATTAATTTGTTACTTTCGGTATCTTTTTGGATAAGAACAATTTTTAAACCCAGTCCACGCTGAGACCGCATTCTTAGTAAAATTCGAAAATATTCGGTTTCAACGAACCACCTATAATAACCACCTTGTTGCGTGGGGTCACCTTTTCTGATTTAAAGTATTTGTCTCGTAAAATAATTATCTCCCTCATTATTTTTTTTTGTTCATTTGTTCGTTTGTTTTTAAGGACGACGAGGCCTTGCCCCTTTGGCCGAGGGAACAGTTCTTGGATCCAAAGGTACAGCAATAATTTTGTTTCCAATAATGTTCGTTGATTACATTAATTCCCACGTTCATTTAATTAGTTTAGTCTCATCGATTATTCTCTAAATGATAAAGTCTGGGCATTCACTCAGTCAAGAATTACTTAATGCAATGTTTAATGGGTCTTTAGTCAACATTTTTCCGTTAAAAAAAAAGCACTTTATTTGAGTGTCAATGTAATTAGCACGAAAGTGCTATTTGGGGACCCTATATTTTACGTCTCCTAATGGAGACGGGATCGCCATTTTACGTGGTCATCCGAGCCACGCGAAGGTCCAGCCGCCTGCAGGGCAAAGGGAGTACCTTCATTTCTCAGTTATTTTAAGACCCTGAGTATTGGTCCGGCCCCGGAAATCGAACCAGTGACCTCCCGCTCTGCAGTCAAGCGCTCTAGCGACTGAGCTAGTCCTGCCGCGGTAATCTGTCTTTACATCTGTCTTTACATATATATTTTTGACTCGTGATTTCAGGGTGAAGTACGCATGCGGAAGGAAGAACTCTGCAAGACTGCTAAAAGGTCCTGCTCGGGAGTTTAACAGGAAACCCAGGAAATAAAAAAGACAGACCAATTTGCCATAAACGCTGGACAACAAGGAATAGCTACAAGAGATTGCTCTAGACGTTGCAAATTAAAAATGCAAATGTAAAAGTTTCGCCTGATTAAACAAGCAAAGGATAGAAAGAAGTTGTTAAATTTGTATAAGCGAAAATGAGTCAATAAAGAAATAACAAGCAACTTGTACAGTTTCATGTTTTGCCGTTTCAGAAAAATTCTGTTTTGCCAGGAGTGTTCCCAATACTCGGGGGAGGGGGGCGGGCTGCATGCCTTTTGCAACCCCTAGATTATTTCAGACAATTATACTACTACTAAATCATTAGCTAAGACAAGCAAGTAGTTTCCGCGCACAAGGGAAATATGAAAGCTGCATGCCTAAAGGACAAGCTGGAATTCATTCAAGTTTTTTTTTTTGCACTGTAACCTATTTCAGAACATATCATGTTGGAGCATGTACATATTGATAAAATTTTCCTATGCTGTAGCTATCCAGGGCTGACTGCTTTGGTTTGCATCAACACTTGACATGGCATACAATTACTAAGTTTATATAAATTGTACGTAATAATATCAAGTTGTGAATTTGAGAAATCAGTATTAAAGATGGCATTGAGATTAAACCATAACACAGGGGCAAATTATGAGATTTTGAAGATGTGCTCACACGGGAAACAAAAGTTGTAGTGCAGAAGATGGTCTAACCTGGGGGCATGCTCCCCCAGTAAATTTTCAAATTAGGGTCTTGGAAATGCGATTTCCAGCATTTTCCACGGGACATTTTCAGCAAAATAATATGCAGCAAGATGCAGTAGTTGGTTGTTTATTTTACTTTTCTCTAGTGTTGTCAGTAAGGTACAGTGTTTATAGAAAAAAAGGCCAGTGATGCAAGAATTATGCCCATATGGAATAATTAAACGTAAAAGAAATAGCTAATACAGGCACCAATAGAGTGCAAAAAATGTATCATTCATCCCAACTTAATGATGGAATGATGGATTTAATGATAGAATTAGGAATTAAGACGGAATCCACCAGGAAATTGAGTAATTTTAATTTTCAGTGGACAAAAACCTTGTACCAGTCAAGTCTTTTTTACATTTTTCAAGGGCTATAAATGTATTATTAGTTATCTGTTAGTGTAATAACACCAAAGAAAATTTCTTATGGGAGCCCAAGAAAATAAATTGCAAATATCAAAAGAATTGTGAAAAGACAAGTAAAATTCTGAAACTTTCATCTGTAAGATGTCATATTGTGAAATTTGACATTTACTTTCTCGGGCTCCCATGAGAAATTTTCTTTGATGTTATTACAGATAACTAATTACATCTATAGCCCTTGAAAAATGTAAAAAAGAATGCAATATTGTTTAAATTCTTCTGGTACAAGGTTTTTGTCCACTGAAAATTAAAATGACTCTATTTCCTGATGGTTTCCGCCTTAAAACATACATTATTTTTCCATATTTCAGCTGTACATGTATGCATGGGGGTAAGTGTGTATTACTGGATGCTATGCTCCTGCTATTTCAGACCACAATGGTTAACATCTATATCCATACAGCTTAACATTGGATTTTAACCTGGGCCTCTTTTGGGAGTGAAGTGGTTCAATAAATGAGTCCTATACAGGGTACACAATGATACCCAATTTCACTATTTAGTGTCTTACACACAGTGTCTTTTTGGACTGAAAGCCTTTGAAATAGTGTGAAGGTTGCCAGGGTATCAACATGAATTTTTGGGTGCGCTCCTTTGAGATGATCTGGATCAGAATCAGTGATCCGAGTGATCGCGGATCGGATCATGGTAGAACTGATGAATCCAAATGAACTGATGAATCCACTCTGGACAGGGATTCATTGGTTCATTTGATCTACCATGATCCTAGCGATCTCGGATCACCGATCCTAATCCGGATCATCCCAAAGGAATGCACCCTTTGTCTTAAGCAGGGTCAAGGTTCAAAGGACTAAGTGGCACATACCACTACCCAAACCTCCCTGGAACACCCCCCCCCCCCACTCCCTATGATTATAGATAGATAGATAGTATCAATAACACTGCAGTGTTGGGGGGAATTATGTATGATTTCACTAAAATAAATATATAGGTAATAAATGTCAATACTTTTAAAAAACTAAGCTTAAAATCAAAATTTCTTGAATTTAAAATGTGAAAAGACGAAAATGTACAATTATGTGGGACTGAGGCAGAATTCACATTTTGGTGCCTAGGCACAGTGCCCAAGGCTCTCTGGGCATTATTAATGTAAGCACATCCCCTTTTTCAAGTACCCACATTAGAATTTGGGCACTGTGCTGGTGCCTGAGTACAAAGTCGAGACCTTATAATCGGGTGTAAAAGTGGGCATGGCTTCCCTACGGCACACCGTTTTGGTTAGTGCTGCAGCACTCTTGTCCACTACATTATAATTGCTGCTAAGCTCATGTTTTAGAATGGTGTCTGACAGGGCAAAATAGATTTTCTACCTACACAGTTATATTTCAGGCACTTAAGGTGTGAACACAACACCATTTTGTGCCAGTACCCAGACACTGTTTCCCAGGCACTAAGTGTGGACAGGACAATCGCGTTTCGACTAAATTACGATAAAAATAATCAGTTCGTCTCAAATAAAAATGAATTACTTACATTGACGTTGTCACCTGTCTTTTCTCGACGTTTCTCCCCAAATAATGCCAGCAAAAAAAGCCTGGGAAACGCGTCTCAATTTTCCGGGCCGTCTCATGTGGGTGGAGAGAGGAGTATGAAACAATATTAAAAGAACCAGAAAGCGGACGCGATACGATACACACTTATCCGACAGAGATTCGTTTCTTCTGGAACAATTTTTCACCAACAAAATTGCTTATATTCTACTCCGTTTTCCACAGTTGACCACGGTGAGGTGAGCTGCAAAAAGAAAACTGGGTCTGAGGTATACCAGGATGCTATTCGGTCGCACTGGCGGGAAAGTTGTGCGATCGAACGCGGTAAAAAAATTGCCTGTATCACTTCGTGAAAACACCGCTTTGTTGGCTTCTGTTTGGGTAAAAAATGCCGGCTGATCGCAAGCCTATGCGATTTGCTCATAGTGAAGGTCATACAGATGTGTGCTACGACGAAAAGGGAGAGTAAGTATAATAATTTTCTTGCTATAACGCTCGTTCATGATCGACGATCGGCCTGCGTGATTCATCTTGCAAGAGTTGATCGATGATCAGCAACGTACGTTAAGCGAAATGTGCATCGAATTTGTTAGTTAACCCACAAAAGCTTATCATTTCTCGATCGGGTAAAGAAATCGAAACAGTGCTAAAGTTGAAGTCGCCTGAATCGGATCGAGTCATTTATCGAATCGAATGATTGATTTCAAAAAACAATGACTGTTGGCTGTCGTCGATCACCGAACAGCGTTACGATTTACGCGGTAACTTAGTGAGCTTGAGCTTGTAATCGATCGAAGGAGCCAGGTTAAATAAATAAAGTATACCGTGTATTACCGTAGGATACTAGTGTAGTTGGAGGGATCAAATACATCTTAGGACAAATGGGTCACTTTGGTGTTTACGTGTTACAAGAGTGTCCTAGGGGATTTGGACTACAGAAATCTGTACAATCTTATGAATTATTACAATCACTTTATTGGTAATAACCGGAAATGTAGAATGATATTATTTTGTTTTAAGATAGAATAACATTTTAGCCTAGAGATAGGATATTTATATCCCTGATCTTTCTGCTAAAAATATATTTGTACCACAGATGTAGCTAATAGTAAATGTTACTGTTTATTCATACCATGGGATTCAGCAAAATTAACAAAATAATTTGTACAGGTAATAGCATGATTTGTAGTGATATGTGGCCTAAATACCATGAGTGATATTTCGAAATTGTTATACGTAATTTCACGAGCCGTTAGGTGGGTGAAATTTGAGACAATTTTGAAATGTCACAAGTGGTATTTACGGCAAATATCACGTACAAATCATGCTATTATTTGTTTATACTACTACCCGCAAAGGTTTGTAATTTTCACATGTGGGTATTTCAAATTAAGCGGAAATACCACTGCTCTAAGCCAATCAAATTGCAGAAATTTCTCATGTAGTAGTATAAATGTTTTAATTTAATCTGCCTGTTTAATATGGCTTAAATGTAAAAGAATGTTCCAATTATGCTAATTTTTGCATGTAAAAACACTGTATTTGCTTTACCGAATATACATGTAAAAAAGTCGTGGGATTAAAATCTACCATAAACAATACCATGCCAAAGACAGAATATTAAAAATACAATACATTCCCATACAACTCCTTATAATTTGGCTTCCTGTTTAAGGCTGTTGTGAGTCTGGGTCCCCTGTATTTTAAATGGCCTTTCTCTCCATGAGTCTCTATTATACTTGGCTCAGTTATTAGATCGCCCTCTTAATGTTAGGAACATCATAGCGTTGAACTGGTGTCTCAGTTTTACTACTTTTTTACCAATGTTTTGACATGACAGCTGTTATTTCAAAATTTTCTCAGCTATCTTTTGACATGTGGCTCAGATGGTGATGTGCGCATTTACAAAGATTTTGATGACAGTGATCCTGAGTCAGTCAGGGCAGGAGATAATGTCACAGTTTTAGCCGTGAAGGTGAGAGCACTTTAAAGTTAAAAAAGGAAGCCCTTTGCCAGTATCCTCAAAATTGAAATATAAATTCTCCTTTCTAGGCTACATTGTATGTGCACACTACACATGTACATGTACCAGATCGTTCTTTTGCTGGCATGAAAACCATACTGGATATAGCCCAAGAAAATGAGTGTGAAACGAGACAGTGCAGAAATTCTGTACTGATGAATGATGACACGTCACTACCCGAAGGGTTGAAAGTCCTCAAATTTTAAAATAAAAATTCATGTCCTTGAAAGTCCTTGAAAATTGCAGTCGGTGCTGGAAAGTCCTTGAATTTCAATGCTAACTTTATAGTTTAAGTAGAATTCCAAAGAAAAGGAGCAACACAGAGAGACCCTCGGGATAAAATTACTCCTGTTGTGAAAGAACTAAAAAAGACATAGACTCAAGGCTCTTTTTTGCACTGAATTTGAAAACCCTGAAAAATGGGAAATGTGACTTTGAAAGTCCTTGAAAAGTCCTTGAATTATTTGTTCAAATAAGGGTATGAACCCTGACACTATATACGCCATAGCTCTTGTGCTGGCCTGAAAACTGTACCAGATAAAGCCCAAGAAAATGAGTGAGAAACAAGACAGTGCAGAAATTCTGTACTGATGACTGGTCATTACCCAAATCTGGGTACTGCTTCTGATTGGTTGAAGGAAATTTTTGGCCAATGAGATCTAGGTAGCATTGCATCATTGGTATGAAATTTCTGCCCTCCTATCTTAGATGCCATTTTGTGGGGAAACCAGTGCTGGCATGGCAAAATCAGGCGGAGGGCTTGACGATTTTAATGTATTCTCAGGAGTAGGGTTTTTACCCACAACTGTTTCAGCTAACAGTTATCTAATAAGGAACTTGCGTGTTACAAGAACCCCTTCATTCTCACTAATCCTGTATCCCAAAAATACCCTTCCAGAGCTTGTCCTTATTACAGATCCTTTGGCTGTAACTACCTACCAACCGGAGGGGGGGGGCTACTTCCTCGTAAGAGGCTAACGGGGATGTGGTGCTGGACGGGCTCGCATTTTCACAATTGGATTGACTAGAATGGGCTCGCGTATTCAATAATGGGGTCGCACATTTTCAGATTTTGGGGGTAAGAAAGTTCTTCATATTGACTTTTTGGCGGGAAATTGCAGCGGTCGGACGTGTATTCATCGTGTCTGCCTAACATTGCCAAAGATGACCCCTCTCTGGCACCTACTCCTATGAAAATACACTATCTGGCTCCCTGACGATGTAATCTACCTTCTTCAATGTAAATGCCTCCCAGAAAGAATAAAAGAGGTGATCGTGGCTCAACCGAAGACGAACCAAGAAATCCGAAGAAATCCAACATGGCGGCCGAGGAAAACATTGATGTTGAAGAATCGATTGAAGCGGGCAAGGAACAAGAAGAGCCTAGCCTTCTTGAAATCAAGGCTCTACTGGTCGACATACAAATCCAAATAGCTGCAGTTCTTAGCGAAAATCGAACGCTGAAGAAGGAAATCGAAGAATTAAAAGAATCTGCCAACTTCTACGAGAAGGAGCTTAAAAAGATTTGAAAGAGTCCTTGCAAAAGACCAAGGACGAATACAAAGAATTAAAACACATGCTAGCCTCAACAAGGAACGAGCTTAAAACAACAAAGGAGAATCTAGGAAAGCAAAAAGAAGAATCCGATCGACTGTGGGAACACCATGATGATTTGGAACAATACACTCGAAAGAACTCGCTGGAAATCCATGGAATTCCAGAAGATGCGTATCCCAGTACGGAGGCCGCGGTCATCAAGGTTGCTGAAGCCCTAAATATCACCATAGAGCCTGAAGAAATAGAGATTTCACACAAGCTGAATCGGGGCAAATCCATTATAGTGAAATTTTGCAATCATAAAGTGAAATCGAAACTTTACAAAGAACGCACCAAACTAAAGGATGTCAAAATCAAAGATCTATTTCCCAGCTACCCTTCAAATGCACAGGAACGACAATGTATTTTTATAAACGAGAACCTCACGGCTTATAGGCGTAGAATCATGAAAGAAGCGAACAAGAGAAGACAAGAGGGTACTCTACTCAGTGTTTGGTCTTTGGATGGTAAGATTTTTGTTAAGACATCACCCTATGGCTCCCCTGTTAGAATTTTTTCCGAAGAGGACTTAGATCAATTATAAACTGAACAGGCAAAATAATCTACGTTAAGTCTGGAGAGGGACGTCTTATCAACCATTCAAATTTCTCGCTGCCAAAGTAATTTAATTTTACTAACTACAAATTTGTCTATGCTCTGTTTTTTTGTTTTTGCGCTACTCTTTTTATTTATTCAAAGTGTTATTTTGTTTAATTTACCTTTTGTGATCATTTGCTTCAGTCTAATATTATATGCACGTTTTAGTCTTCATTATTTGTTTAAAATATCGAGTACCTTTTGCATCAATCATTTTACACCTAATAGAAAGAATGCAAATCCTTTATTGAGGCGCACATGTTTTTTTCCCGTCGAGACAACGTTTATTACAAAAGACTTGAACAAATCGTGACTTTGAAAATAACTTCATTGAATGTCAGGGGACTTAGGGATGACGCTAAAAGAAGAGAAGTATTTAATTGGCTTCGCGCCAAAAGGCCATCAATATGCATGCTCCAAGAAGCACACTGTATAGAAAAAACAAATCACTTGTGGAAAGCAGAATGGGGCTATCAAGCTTACTTCACCTCTTTTGAAAGCAACAAAGCAGGGGTATGTATTCTTTTTAACAATAATTTTAACCTTCAGCTCCAAAGACTTTACACCGACCCTGCAGGGAGATTTATTATCTGTGACTTAAAAGCTAACGAAAAGCTTTTGACCCTCGCTAACATCTATGCTCCCAACGAAGATAAACCTTCATTCTTTCAAAACTTTTACGATCATCTTTTAAATTTTAAATGTGAAGACATAATAATTGGCGGAGACTTCAACCTTGTTCTTAACATCGAAAATGACAAAAAAGGTGGCATTGCCAAAACTCACCAAAATAGCTTGAAGACCGTTCAAGAAATTTCAGAGAACCTAGATCTTCTCGATGTCTGGAGAATTCACAATCCAGATGACAAAAGGTACACTTGGAGACAACGACAACCTAAGGTTTACTGTAGACTTGATTTCTTTTTAATAAGCCAAAGCGTTATTGGGGACGTCACTAACACCGATATAGTGCCAGGATATAAAACAGACCATTCCATGATTACTTTAGATCTGTCTCTTCATGCAAATAGCAGAGGAAATTCTCCTAATCTGGTCAGAAATCAATTTTGAAGAGAGGATAACATCAGAGAGCCAGCTTTCAGAACAAGGCATATGGTACAACTCACTTGTAAGGATTAACGACAGCCCTATTTTCTTTAAAGAATGGTATCGTAAAGGCATCACAAAAGTTAAGCACTTAAGGAACAGAGAAGGAAAATTCCTCACTCCACCAGAACTTTTAAACAAATACGACATCAAGGTCCAACCCTTGGCATACTGTGGAATAATTTCTGCTCTTAAAAAGCTATGCAACACATTCAACCAAGGTGACCACACAAACGAAGGTAATAGTTACGAAAGCTTTTCGACAAAACTAATGAAAGCCCAAAAAGCAAGCAAGTTGGTGTATGACAAATTAATTACAAAGAAAAGTGCCCCCCCTACTACAAGCCAGCAAAAATGGAATCAAGACTGCAACTTAGGTCAAAACGAAATAACGTGGGGTGCGACCTACCAGCTAGCTCATAAAATCACAAAAAGCATAAAACTCAGGGAATTTCAATTTAAATTGCTGCACAGAAGAATACCAACAAACGCTTTCTTAACTAAGATAAGAGTAAAAGAAAACTCCAACTGCTCCTTTTGTAAAAAAGAACCAGAAAAACTCGTACACCTTTTCTGGTCCTGTCCCAAAACGGCGCTCTTCTGGGAGAGCATCATAACGCGTTTAAAACTTTGCCAAATTATTCCCGATAGTTACTCTGCAGACATGACTGTTTCACTAGGCCTGAGATCAGACTCTTCTAAACTTCAACGCCAGATCAACTTTTGTTTTCTTATTGCCAGGCACTATATCTGGCTCTGCAAAACAAAAGAAGCTATACCTCTATTGCAAGGATTTCTCAAACACCTAAAGACAATTTACAACATACAAGCACAAGCAGAAGCAAACAATGCTCTGCCCAAACAATGGTCATTCCTACACGACATCACGTAGAAACTATCGTTTCTACCATGGCGCTATTCCCAACGCCCCCTGATATTCTCTATGTCTTTCATCCGTAGCTTATCCTGCCTCAATAACGCCAACTATCCTTAAATAAGTTTCTTCCGATGCAACTGTGTACTTGAAGCATACGAAATGTAATAATGTTTGAAAACAGTAGTATTGTTAGCAATGTAAGCAATAAGTATTGTCAGTATTGTAAGTATGGTATGAATGTTGTAAATAATGTAAGCAGTGTAAGCAGTGAAAAAAAAAAATAATAAAAAAAAAAATAAATAAAAATAAAAAAAAAAAGTTCTTCATATTAATTTTACGGTTAGCAAACATACGAGAATGTTTGTACTGATGGTGAAAAGTAATGTGTTCTTCATTCAATTTAAAAAATGGGGCCAATTCATTTTAGGGTGACCTATTTAAAGGTTTGATAAGGTACATGCATAAATAGAAAGTTAATAGGTTGGGATCGTATAAATTACATATTTGCCCAAAAGTGACAAAGATGGGGTCTACAATATTTTATTGGCCACAGAATAGACTATAATGGGGTAGGGACTCTGAGACGCCAGAGGCACATACCCAGCAAAAATTAACCCAAGTACACCCCTAACCCCCCCTTTGTTATTTTTCTTTTGGTAGCCTGTGATCTTTAACTTATTCAATGTCTTTCCTTCCTTTTACAGAATAACAAAATAATAACTGCATCAGACAATTCTGTCCTGGCCTTTACTTTTCCAGAGGTACATCTAATTTGATGTAATATTACTTCAGGTTTAGTTGATTATGATGTTAGTATTATTAAATTTTCTCTGTCATTTGGCCAGTTTTTGTAAACTTGAGTTATTTCCTTGTTTAAATTTCAATAAAATGTGGCTTTGGCATTTTTGTCTTTATGTATGTGTTGTAATTAATTAGTATTTTTCTTTTGTGTCAAATTCATTAGCATAAATTACCATACCCAAAAACAAAAGAAAAACAAAAATTACCTGAGGTAAAAAATAACTACAACATATACATTTACTGTTAATTTTCCAATATTTCTTGGGAATAGAAGGCCTTTTCAAGCTAACATTAATTTTGTCTGATTTTAGTCTAAGTTTGGGTTACCAGGGTCCAACTGTATGCAAGATTCTTTTTAAAGAAAATGATTTAAAACTAAATTGAATACATTAAACACATGTATATATGTGTACAGATACATGTATAAATTATGTGTACAGTGTATGTATTTAATGATTAATATTAAAATGATCTTTGTGTTTGTCTCAGGGGTCCCCTGATGGAATCCTTACCAGGTTTACAGCTCCTGTCAATCATATTTGCTGTGACCACTCAGGGACACTTCTGGCAGCGGGATCAAGGTGCAGTGATACATAGCATAAAATGGTCTTCTCTCATGTTTGTCTTTCAGTATAATGTTTAGTTCTCACACACAACTGGAAGCCATGCCAAGCTGACCATGCAGCCCGACCTTTATTATATCAACACTATGAATCATTAGTGTTACAGCACCAAAAGACAGCTAACAAAACAGCAGAAACTCAGCCTAGATACAATAGATTAACATACAAGAATAACCCGAACTAAGGCACTACTTGAAATCCTGCAACCCAAAAAACACATGGAGGGTGGGCGGGGAAGGTCAGGCAATGGCGGAAGGCAACAAAAACAACTGAACTATGAAACGCCAGCCCACGTGACCTGAAGACCCCCTGCACACTTGAACCCATACTCCCAGCCATGTGTGCGAAAAATGTTTTCCGTTTCTTTCGTTCCTCAGCCAGTGGAAAACCACACTTCCTGTTAAAGTGTGATCATCATCAACTTTCTCCTAACACTACCAATACATATCAAGAGGTAAGGTTGTGATAGGAGGCAGGATGGTCAAGTGGTCAGCACGTCGGACTGGCAATCTGGCAGTCCTGGGTTTGAGTTTTGCTCTGGCCACTTTGCTGGATTTGTTCTCGGTCGTCCTGAATTCAGATCCTTGGCCACGCTTGTAAATAGCCAGCTGGTTGCCTCCTCCCAGTTGGGGTTCTTAATCATGTTATGATTATTTGAATTATTTATTTCTGATATCATCTGAGTGGAGTGCATGTATGCTTGCTGAATAAGCTGAATAAGCTATGCTAAGTCATGTAAGTTTACTTTCCAACATAAAATGATGAAAAATCTGCTTCAAAACAACACATCTCTCTACCTTCATGGAAGCTACAGTACTTAACCCATTCGCCCCTGAACCGCCCGTAACCGCCCGTGCGGATCCAGGTCCTTTCTACCCTTTGTGACGTCATCAGTTTTAACGGTCAAGGACAACTTTCTTCGCACACGTGTGCAGAGTGAAGAGATCTTTCAAACCATACCAGAATGAGCACAATTCAGTCAAGGACACCGGAGAAAGAAGCAAAAAACCACGTGACAAGGACCTGAAAATCTCCACGAAAATCTTGTTCCATTACCCACCTACCTTTCCTTTCACCTAATCCTAAGATCCTAAAAGCTTTCCTAAAAACTCTTCCCACCAAAATGAAGCCTACTAAATGCCCAGCAAGAGAAAAAAAAAATGAGGCAAGAAAAGCGAAAAAAAGAAGGGAGGAGAGAAAGCGAAAAGTAAAAGTCAAGACTGCTGTGTCACTTTTAAACTGCGCATGCCCGAACTTCGCAAGCTGATATTTTGCATCTGGATCAGAAGGCCTCCAAGTGTACGACCTGTAAACCGGTTTGTGGTAAGTTTTAGCTCTTTATAGCACGACAGTGACCAGAAAACCACTCGACTAGCTTCAAAACGCGTTTTTCAGCAAAATCTCCCGGAGCGAATGGGTTAATAATAATATTTATTATTTATAGTTCACATGTTTTATGAAAATAGTCATAAGACCATATGATACAACTGTAAAGGGTGACTTAAGGTGATTTGAAGGAAAAGGAATCCTTTAATATCATACTGGATAAATATTGATTTACCGGTACTTACCAGCAGCAGCATAGTTAATTTCAACAATTGAAATAAAAGCTATAACTACAATTATTGTACACTTTAATTCTAATTTTGCAGTGATTTTAATGTGAAAGTAGTGACCGTGGCTGATGGAAGTCAAAAGATACTCAAAGGTCATGCAGCTCCTGTGTTGAGTGTTACAATAGACCCCAAGAACCAGTACCTGGTAAGTTAAATTTTATTTTTTTTATTTTTTTTATTTTTAATAAAAAAGACAAATGAAGGGCTCTGTCCAAAAACTTCTTCTTCAGGCTTTTCTTTTATCTGTTTATGGCCTGTAAGCTTCGTACTCGGGTCATAAAATTAGATAAATAAAAACTTGGTCTGTGATTTACAGTATAGACCTCAAACTAGAGGTATGTTTTTTTATTGTTTAATTTAGGCTTCATCAAGTTGTGATGGTACTGTGAAGATATGGAAACTGGAGGATCAGGTTAGACATTTTATTTGCCATGTAATTTTGGATCTTCAACTTTAAACATGCAATTTCTTCTGTCTGGTGTAATGAATACAATTTAACTAGTAAAGCTGGGAGATTTGTTTAAATTAATAAAAGCAGCTTTTACTGTATTTGTTATGTTTTAGCTAGACAATTTTTTCCTTTTAAGGTGCATATGTATTTTTATTATATAAACACCAATGAAATACCAGGTGAGCTTTCACGCAAAAACATGATATCTTCACACGTGAAAATAACATGTTATTCTCACATCTGAAAATATCACCATTGCTATGGCTACATAATAAATCGCGCCTTTCGCAGGAAAAAACTGGTTCATTGAAATGGTTTGGTATTTCATTGGTGTTTATATAATAAATAGAACATACATGGCCGCTTGGAGATACGAAATTTCTCTTCAACACTCAAGAAGAAATTTCGTATCTCCGCACGGCCATGTAATATCCTCTATGTATCATTCTTTTACAGACGAGTGTGACATCATTATCTATCCTTCCTAAAGTAAATGATGCAAGGTGGGCATTCTACATTGTATGATTCTTGTATGATTTCACAGTTTTAAAATGAAAAAATTTTTGAAAAATAGTGATTAGTCAGCTAGCTTTTTTCTGTAATGAAAAAGGAAATGAAATGAAGCTGTACCATGAAGAAAATAGACAACTAAATATTTTTTCTTCTTTTGAGAGGACGCTTGACAATGGTACAAAAAAATTTTGTCTTTTTAGTAAAAGTGGGGAAAAGGTAACATCTTGAAAGATGTTGCTTTCTTATTAGAAATTTTTCCTTTGAATGAGCCATTATATTTTTATTCCCACCATAATAACCCATTTATTGTTGAAAATTAATGGCATTTGCTAATACATATAGAAACTCAAGGAAAGTACACAAAAATGTATCAGTAATTGCATGAAAAAGATTTGCAGTGGTCATACAAGGATTTGAATATTCATTTATCAAATACAGTTATCAATTAGCCAGGAATATTATCTGGTATTATTGATTTATAAAAAAAATCGTAACATTTCCTTAAAGTTGTATTTCCAAGCCATCTATTTACCTGGCAATTGGAAATCTTAGTGACAAACCTGATCATTCAATAAAAACTAGATAGCATAGGCAAATTAAAAATGTTCCTAAACACAGGATTTGACTAAAATACATCAATTAGGCAGGTAATCAATCACCTGGGGATTTCTTTTGGTTCTATATTTCTTCTACTTTCCAATAAAAGTAGCCGGGGACCACACCCATAGTAGCCGGGGAAAATCCCTGGCCCCTGGCTCTCAGTGACAGCCCTGATGATTAAATCTGGCTTGATTATATTGCAGGATTTCAAAGACACTTTGTCGTCTTGCCTGGCAGCCAGGGAGTGGCAAGGTATTGACAGTGTAGTCATCCAAATGCTTATTTTCAATGACTTACAAGTTAATAAAATTATTTTATTAACTTGTAAGTAGTTGAAAATAAGAATTTTCAGTAATGAAATTAATTGCAGTTCAAAATTTGACAGGGATCTCTTTGTATCTCCTTTAGTCATACTTGTTAAAATGAGTACTTTAAGGATAATCACCTGTCACCTAACTAAAGGAGAAATGAGTTTTGTCCTTGAATACATGTACTGAGGTGCTGTTAATGTGTCAAAGTTTTGTGTCAGTAATACTAGTTGTTCATGTAAGTGTACGCTGGTCGACTACTGATAAACCTCTAGATTCTCCTTGCCCAGCATTATTATATACCTGTGAGTCAAAAGAAGAATTCCTTTTTAGATCAGGAGTCAAAGAGAGCCTTGTTTCACACATCCTATGATTTTCTTTGGTTCATCTGAGATCAGGTTTCCTCTTCACTGTGAATTTAAGAAATAAAACTGCTGCTTGTTAAACTGACCTGGTATGTGATATAAAGGTGGATATATTTATGATCTGTGAGTCTTGGCTAAAAGTAAATGATTCAGCTGTTCTGAGTGAGCTCAGTCTGCCAGGATATAAAGCTGATCTCTACCATTGTCCACAAGCTGACCGGACTGGTGGTAGGACAGCACTTTTATCCAGCGATGGTATAGAGGTTGTCAAAGTACTTCCAGTGACAAAATCGTCATTAGAGGTTTCTAAATGGTTGGTCAGTACGGGGGCAACACTTTTTCGGGTTATTGTTGTGTATAGACACCCAGTATCCACAAGCATCTTCATCAATGAGTTTATGGACTACCTTGAATCAGTTTTCATGTCTAGTGAGCCATTGATCTGGTGGTTTTAATATTTATATGGACATGTCTCACAATCCAGATACCATATTATCTTACATGTAGAGGAATTGAATTGATTGACAAAAAGAAATAAAGACTGTATGACACTTTTACCACAAAGGATATTTCCTGGAAACTTGTGTCTCTCGCAAAAGGAATGCTAGGCTTGCACATGCATGTACAGCGTGCAAAGAAAGTACTGTCCGATAGCCCGGGGCTAGTGGATTTTGCTATCGGGCTAGTGAATTCTGTTTTTACTTGCCCGACGGGCAAGTGATGTTTTATGAGGAATTTGAAGAACAGAAGAACAAAACGTTTTGGGGGCTGGTTGAAATGACGTCTGGGCTAGTAAGTGCTAGCTTCAGCTTGCCCGAATGGCAAGCTGTAAAAATGATTTTCTTTGCACCCTGATGTACTTTCAGTCCAGTCGTCATTGGCATTGCGTTGATTTTCTTACACTGTATACCTGCCAACATTTCTTGAGTCAAAGGCATAAGATTATTATCCTGTAAGTGCCAGGAATTTTCCCAGGGCAACCCAATCACATCCTAAGATGTACATGTGTATTCTGAAGATTTCTGAAGGCATTCTTGTACATTGTATGAGGTCCAGAGTTCTCAAGGAAATGATCTTGCCCCATAAAGATCTCTAGAACTGGAGATTTTGGAGAAATTACAATCATTCACATAGACTTTCCTTTTCTTTCATTGATTCTAGTAAAAATGTATTTCTCAAAAATGTGTCAACTAGCTATATATTTTTAATAGCTCAAAATCCATTTTTCCGCTAGGCATAATAAATTCATTGGCAGGCATGAGCAGTCTTGAGACTGACTTTTCCTGCAGGCCAAAGACTCGTGGCCAGAGGTTGCACATTTAGCTTACAGTAGCCTGACACTACATTCTATTTTTGAATTAATTTTGAATAATTTTTTTCTGGAAATAAATTGCAGTATGTAGCTGTGCCTGTGGACAAAGCTGTGAAGGTAGTAATAATAAAATCATATTTTATAATAAATGATAAAAAATCATTATATTGCATATTGCCGCTGGCCTCTCAAACCTACCCCATTATAGGCTATTCTGTGGCCATATTATAGACCCCATCTTAGTCACTTTGGGAAAAAAGTTATTTCCACAAGCCCAACCTAGTCACCTTCTGTTTATGCATTGATCTACCTCATAAAGCCTTTTAACTTGGTCATCCTAAAATGAACATTCGTTAAACTTAATGTGGTTTAAATCTTTCTATTTTTAAATCCTAACATACCTGAATGTTCTGACCCCAAAATCCTGAAAATGTGCGACCCCATTTTAGTACCTCTTATAAAAAATGCAACCCCATAATAGTCAATCCAGTTTTGAAAATGCGACCCCATCCAGTGGCACAAACCCATTAGCCCACCACTAGGAAGTACCCACCCCCCCCTCCCCGGGATTTTCCCCTATTATTATTTTTGACGGGGTTTTTGATCCCCCGTTCCCCTCTCCTTTGCCCCATTTCTTTCTGTCAAATACAATGTATTTCATTGCAAGACTGTCTGGCTGGGTGGTGGGTTGTACACATAATGGTGTTACTCTACATAGAGAGGCTGCCTGCTGAAAGTGGAAACCCCTGAATATTCCAGCCTTCCTTAAGCGATGCTGTTGTTAACTGACCAAGTTGGATCCTGTCTCTCGCATAATTAAAATGTAATTGTCTCACAGAGACTGAACTTTTGACAATAATGATGTTATGGTCATTATTAATTATGGGCTTTTTTGGTTAAATGTTTGTTTTCAAGGGCATGCTCTAGCATTAGTAACTTTGCAACATGGTCGTTTAATTTTACCGGTACAGACACAACATTTTTTAAGGTTTTTGCCCCAGCTTAATGTTATCAGAATCAACCAGTTTGGAAAATAAAAATTTGTTATTCAGCCTTGACTGTTTGCTCTTGATTCTAGGTTTATGAACGGGAAAGCTGGAAAAATGTCTTTAACCTAGACAAAGATGGCCACAGTGAGGTATTTGTATAGTCCCATGTCAATTTAATAAGAATCTTCTAATCTTCAAGCATAACAATAAAAATAGCAGAATTTTGATACAGTAAGTTTTTAATACTCTGATGTTTTCAGTTAGTGTCTATTGTTTCTTGGTCACCCTGTGGAAACTTTATTGCATCTGCAAGTATCAATGGAGAGATCTTCATTTGGAAAGTGTCTTCCCAAACAGTCATAGAAAGGTATTTTATATACTGAATCATTTTTTGTTATATTATTTATAACCATTTTTACCCTTTTCAGTGCGTTTTGGTAGAGTACAAAGCCAGTATTTCATCACAATAATTATTGAATGGCTTCATGCAAAAATGTCTCCAAATTGGAAATGACGGGACCAGCAGCGGAGTCATTATGAAGCTCTTTACGTGTTATTACACAATGAGATTCAAAAGTACTCAACATCCTCTTTGTTTTTTTTTTTTTATCTAAGCTGTTCTTGCTGTTTCTCTTTTTTTTTTCTTTGTCAGAATAAACCACGAAAGTGGTCAAACTATATGTGGCCTGGCTTGGAATCCTAAAGGCAACAAGGAACTTGCTTACACAGACAACCAGGTGAGTTTTTACTTAACAGTCTTAATGTAAATCAGAGTTCATCGCTTAGTAGACATTCATCGCTTAGTAGACACAACTTATTAGATGACTGTAGCTGTACTACTGTATGTCCATGAAGTGTTGACATCAAGTGTCCATAGTTGCCAAGCAGTGGACCACTTTTTCCTTCAAGTCTTAAGAGTGACCAACATCAATTTTCTCCTAACAAATTTCAGTATATTGTCACGTAGAAAGATTATGAGAATTAATGAAATGATCACTAAAGAAAATATGCTTTGATCTTTTAACAAATTCTCTCAACCAATTTTTCAAGAAATGTATGGAGGCCGGTCTGGAGAATTTGTATGTTGATCTTGGGGCTTAAGGGGTTAAAGGGGCTATGTTATGTATGCTATTTGCTATCTTTTAATAAAGCTAAAACGTTTTTGGCATCCATTGAATTCCAAAGATTTGGTCCAGTATTGTCATTCAAGACCATATAAGTTAGGTATTGGAACTGTTTCCTGTTGCCTGTTGCCTGTTGCAATGAATGGCAAGGATGGCAAGGATGGATGTAGATTGAAACTAGACAAAGTTAAGCTTACTTTTTATTGAAAAAACAGTGACTTGTACCTGTGATCTGTGGAACCTGGCCTGAAAGGAAGTGTTGATTGCTTGTTTGTTTTCCTGACAGGGCCAGTTTGGTGTATGTGAGAATGTTGTGCCAAAGGATGAAGTAAGTAAACTGCAAAAAATAATCATTATTCTATCTAACCTGATTTATGTCATCTTTTTTTGCTTGGCCGTTTTCAGTAGCTGGCTAATGCAACCATCTGCTATGGTGGCAACAGAGGTTCAGACAGAGTTAAACTTGCCACAATGGTTCACAATGAATGTGAGCATTGAGGCAATTTATTATTCCTTTTGTTGTTGACAACATGATTTTTTTTGTAATCCTCTCACGGTGGAATGTGGAAATATCATTTAAAAAATTAACTTGTCAATAAGATATGCACTTAAGAGCCTAGTACCAGGCATGGGGAAGAGGTATCCAGCGTAATCTGTTTCGGACAGTACCAAAGGCACAGAATGAAATACTTAATACACCCAGTACTTACCAAAGGGAAGGTGAAGAGGGGAAAAGCCATAAAATTAAGCAGGCTAAAGAACCTTACTAAGGGAATCAAGTGTGTAATTACAAATACAGAACACTAGAAGGCTCCTACAGAGTGTGAACCAGTTAGGGGAGAGGCCACTGACCAACAATGCCTCACGTTTAATCTTGCCCACATGTCATTCAGCCACATGGACTAACTTTCTTTAGGTCAAAAAATTATCACACAACAGTGGAAAACGCTTGGGCACCTAAAATTAGGGCACATGGACTGCTCACTAGCCAATTTAAATTTTGGTCTGTTTGTAAAAATTAAAGATCATTGGAGTGACGTGGATACTTTGAACATTTTTAAAGAATACATGTAACTTTATTCTTTACATTGATCTATAATGGTGATACTCCCAAAGCTTAAAACCTCCAAGCCCGCTACATCTTTGGATGACAAAGTGGATGACATCCTGGTGGCAACAGCCATGGATGGAGACAGTGATGATGAACAACTAATTGTTGGGAAGAAAAAACAGAAGAGCAAGTCTAATGCTTGGATTGATGAGGAGGCTGATGATGATGATGAGGATGATGAATTTAAAGGTAATCCAGTGTTTCAGGGTTGTCACTAAGATTTCAAGTTGCCGGGTAAACACAACAAGTAGGCGGGGAAATCAAACAGCTAGGAATGTTGTTTGGTTCTATTTTCTTCTATTTTCCAATAAAAGTAGCCAGGGGCCACACTCATAGTAGCCAGGGAAAATCCCCGGCCCCCGGCTCTTACTGACAACCCTGGTGTTTGGAGGAAAAAATTCAGAGTTCCTTTTTCTAATAAATATTTCCTAAAAATTCATTTGCCAGCTCCTTAAACCAAAGCTGAAAATACATTGTATGGCCAAGTCACTATTAATTTTTGGCTGGACAAAACATTAGATTAGGTCAACCTTAATCAGGGACACTATCTTAAATGAATGTTTCACTTATTTTTGCCTTCCCGTCGTTCATATGGTAAGTGACTTAGTTTACATTAAAAACTGCAAAGTGCCTCAAAGGTTTTGTTTTTAGTTAGCATTAAATGTTATTTGTAAAAAAGCCTTTTTGAATTAATATTCTCAAACTCATTAATCATTGATGCAATCCAAAGCCAAGTAAAATGATGACCTTTTGGGTTAGGTGGATTAATCTTGATACCTCCAGGTGACACAGCCTTTCATCTGAGATGAAACATGTTTTTCATCTGAGACGAAACACTTACAAGCATTTTTTAAAATGACATGTTTTATTGATTAACACAACTCATGAAAACAATGCAACCAAAGAAAACATGTCACAGCTTACTTTCTTATTGTTTTACTTGAGAAGATTATCAAAAACTTGCCGGGCTTTGTGCTTCATCTCGATCTCACTCAGCCTATTGCTCTGTGCTTTTATCTGTTTCTTGGTGTTTGGAAACTACGACGAAGCACTCACCCTTGTTTTTGATATAATTATTACTTATTTTCATTAGATATTCGCAAACTAAAGGCTGCTCTAGCAACACCATTAAACTTTGGTGACGGTGACAATGACATGGATGTTGATACTGGCAGTGAAATGTCTGCAGCCCAGGCTCCAAAGAAGGTGAATGCAACTTCAGTAAAAAATGGTTTATCAAGAAAGTGATTCAGGAATGGAAAATTTAACCTGGGTAATAAAATAAGGAAGATGTATAATGGTTATTATCTTGTGAGCGTGGGGCAAGAAATATGGTATCACAGGATGCTGTGGGATCTGAACCAGGGCACAATTTTTTTTAAATTTTAAATTCTAAAGCTTTTTTGACTTGAAACATATCCTTTGCAAATAAATCAGTTTGAATGTAACACAGTGTCTTAGCGAGCTCTACATTAATATTAGGCCATTCATATAACATGCCACTGAAATAATTCTTTGTTGCAGTACATGGACAGAGATAAGGTAACCAAAAAAGTTAAACAGTTACAAATCTGCAGTGGGTAGAGTTAAATGGTGAACAGAAATAAAAGACATGTTCATTTGTCACATCAGTTTTTAAGTATGTATTTTCTGGGACAATCAATTAAAGCAAGTAGAGAAGAAAAAGATTGTTAGATTTGGTGTGTACTTACAGTCCCAAAAGAAATGCAATTATACAGTATTAAATTGTAGTTCATATTTTGCTACAGGAAGTAGTCCATACTCCATTTGTTCCAGTGTTACAGCCAGCATTCCAACCAAGCTCCACCCCCACTCATCTAATGCACAGGTTTATGGTATGTACTACACTGAAAGTAACAAAGCCCAGGATTTATCTTATCAACAAATAAAAAGATAAGGGTGATTGAAGCCACTCACATACTCAACAGCCAGTAAAATGCGTAACATCACTTTTCAACTTGTCTTGCAGCAATGTTGCAAAACAAATTGCATGTTTTTGTTGCCTGTCCTACCATTCCTTTAAGTATGCTGGAGCCATCATTCAGCCAACATCGTCTGGGTTTTGACTTTGTCGTAATTACATTTAGCCACATTGATAGGCAATGATCTTTATACGAACTTCATCAGGGTACTGAACATAGATTAAAAGGACTGGGCAAATGTAACCACTGGAGAACTTTGGATTTGTGACTTCCCTATCTTGAGTTCAATTAATAGTTTGTTTTTTTTTTTCTACTTGAATTTTTTATTAAGGTATGGAATTCAGTTGGAATTGTGCGTTGTCACACGGAAGATGAAATATCATCAATTGAAGTAGAATTCCATGATACAAGCACACATCACCCCCTGCATTTGACAAATCATCTCAATCACTCCATGGCTGCTCTGTCATCCACTGCCCTGCTGTTAGCCTGCAAAGCACAGGATGATTTGCCCAGGTAGCATTGTTACAGCGTGCAAAGAAAGTAGTGTCCGATAGCCTTGGGCTAGTGGATTTTGCTATCAGGCTAGTGAATTCTGTTTTTAACTGGCCCAACGGGCAAGTTAAGTTTTTTGAGGAATTCAAATTACAGAAGAACTGTAAGATCAATCCTGCTCATCAAAACGTTTTGGGGGCTAGTTGAAATGATGTTTGGGCTAGTAAATGTTAGCTTCAGCCTTCCCGAATGGCAAGATGTAAAAATGACTTTCTTTGCACCCTGTTGTTATAAAGAGATTTTTATGAACTTGTCTTGTTTTATTTGTTTGTGATGAGCTGGTTACGTGATTTGTACTGTCTTGGTTTGAAGGGCTGGCTTTTTTGCTAAGAACTCAACATGCCTCTTAACAAAAAATGACATTTTTGTTTTTGATTACATGGCAATCAATCCAGCCCCATTAACCAAGATTCTTGTATTGCGACGTCTTCTGTGTGGGAGAGTTGACTAATTTTTGTAGATCAAACTTTCCAGTTGCTTAGCTTGAACTTAGAACTTAACACGTTTTCAAATTCTTAGGCTCTTTTCTAGTGACCTTTGCATAGAAAAGTATCACAGGCTTTTGTTCCATGGTTACATTCAGTCTGATGAAGGAACAGTAAAATGTCTAAAAATGTCTAAAATATTCTAACTTTCAGAGCACCCCAAGCTACCCTTTCACTAACATTGTTCCCTTTTCAGACATTTGAGCCAAAATTTGACTCACCCCTTGCTGGTTCAACTTAAGGGGGCTCTGAAAGTGATCTCAGTTTGAGGGGGGAGTGTGAGCAATTTTTGTTTCTACTTCTTATTTGCTCTTTTAAAGCTTGCTTAACCTGAAACAAGCTGCCTTTATTGTCTACTATTCTCTGCCTTGTCCAAATTAAAAGAAATAAATTTTTCATTTGGACATACATATTGAGAAGGATTGAAATTAATATCCAAGGAACAGATGCACATCGTATTCTTGTTCTGCTTGGGTCAAAAGAAGTGAATTTTGTGGATATAAAGGAAAAATTGATACTAGATTTTTATCTCATGTTAAATTTTTAATTATAGAGAGTAATTTTTGAACATAATATATTGGATTTGATTGCTTTGCAGTAAGCTAGTTTGCCTCCATTTTGGAAGTTGGGATAATTCTAAAGAATGGACAGTGGAAATGCCTGGGGAAGAATCAATTCAGGTATTTTTTTATTTCCACCAGAAAATGAATAAGCCCTTGTAAAATTGCTTGCTCTGGTATGGATATTGTTTTGTTAGCTGCTTAAAATTCAGACATTTGACATCCATCTTGAGACAAAGGAGCTGTTTGATTGAAACTGTTGAGCTGGTCCTAAATGCAGTGTAAAGTGGACCTCCATTATTACGGGCCGGGGGGGTGGGGTACTTCCTTATAAGAGGCTAATGGGGATGTGCCGCTAGATGGGATCGCATTTTCACGACTGGAGTGACTATAATGGGGTCGCATTTTTAATAGAGTTACTAGAATGGGGTCGCCGATTTTCGGATGTTTTGTGTCAAGACAGTTCTTCATAGTTACGGTTAGCAAACGTAACCGAATGTTTGTACCGCAGATGAAGAAGTAAAGTGTTCTTCAGTCAATGTAAAAAATGGGTCCATTCATAAAATAGAAAGTGACTAAGTTGGGATCGCGAAAATAGCATATTTGCCCAAAAGTGACCAAGATAGGGTTCTATAATTGGCCACAGAATAGACTATAATGGGGTAGGGGTTCTGAGAGGCCAGCGGCACATACCCAGCAAAAATTAACCCAAGTATCCCCCTGGGATTACGGGCACCCTCGAGACTGAGACTGTCATTAATTACAGAAACCGGTCGTTTCCATACAAAGTCGTTTCGATCCGAACTCAAGCAGTTAAATTGCACAAAGATTTCGTTCACTTCAAGTAAAGTTTGCAATTGAACAAGAAAAACATTTTGGGTGAATATTCTTCGTTCTTTAAGCCACGTACGTGAAAGTATTTACACCTCGAAGGAATTAACTTGTATCGAAACGACTTGCATCGAAACGACCGCTTTTTTATTTTAGTCAAGCGTCTGTAGTTTGTTTTTGCCAGGGATTTAGCTCGTGTCCGGATTACTTGAGTGACATAATAGCAAGGTGTCCAGTCAGATAGAATGACAAATTGATCACCAAAGAAAAATGTTTAGAGCCCCATGGCATTGGCTACACAAAAAACGGGTTTTGACTAACTAATAGTTAAACTTATCAATATATCTCAAATAAGGCTGAATTACTCACATTAAAAAGTAGTCTTTGCTTTTCTGTTTGTTTTCCTCCCTGTAATTCTTGTATGAAAGCCTAGAAAACACGCCGTCTGATAAAAACGTGTTCAAAATTTTCCGCCAGCGTTTATTATCCTTGGTAACCAAGCTTTCTATCTAATCTCAGGCGTGGGTACTAAGCGCACGAGCCGAATCTATCAGGTAATTCATGCCGCGCTGCGGTGTGCTTGTTCAAGGCCGTGAACAAGAGAAATTTGCTAAAGAAGCAAAGTGCTTCAAAGCTAAGGTTGTTGCTTTCACTGTTGAAAGAGTTTAAGATACAGTGTGTATTACCAATACAATACGCAGCACTAAACTGTTCGACATTTTACTTACAAAAATCTGAGTTTGAAAACCGAAACTGCTGTAATGATCGGCGCCATTTTACTTAAGATAACTCGGATGTAAAGCGTTTTCAGCTAAAAGAATCAGTATTCTAGGAAAATAAAAAGGTAGTTAAGACAACAAATTATTTTTAACATCCTTGCCCATGTTTCCACTTTCTGTGAAATGAAATGCCTGCAAATAAAACAAAAAAACGCCCAAGACGTTTGACCGCGGGGGAGAACGCTTGGCGCTCAGTGAGCGTAAAACTTACTGAATGCTGACAAAAAATTTTGAACATGTTTGAATCAGACGACGCATTTTCGAGGCTTTTAAAGAAGAAACGCGTATTATTTGGCGGGGGGATGGAGGAGGGACTGGATTATATACATATTCTTAGCGAAAATTACAGTAAAAAGCCTCATGGAACATGGGTTAAGCTATAAAAGTTGTAGACCCGTTAATCGCTTTTCTCTGAAAAAAAAAATAAAATAAATTCTGCTTCTTCCTATTTTAAATGATGTATTACCCCTTTTTGTCTCTTGGTCAGTGAGTCGTAACAATTTTCCATAAGCCGTCCAGTCCATATATAAATGTAGGTTTTTAGTACGTTTTTCTTGTAATTATCCTACAGGCAGTGGCCATCGGCAGCTCCTTTGCTGCAGTAGCTACCAACAAGCGATTCTTGCGAATATTTACCATTGGTGGAGTGCAGCGCCACATCTTCAGCATTGCGGGTCCTGTGGTTTGCATGTCAGGCTACAAGGATCAATTGATGTTTGCATATCACAAGGAGAATCCTCTTCCTGGTGAACAAGCTTTGGCGGTAAAATTCCTGGACTTGAAACAGAATCTTATCACAGAAGAGAGGGTCACGTTGAGCGAGAAGGCAACGCTTTCGTGGTTGGGGTAAGCCTGACAAAAATGTTTTGCGGTTGTTCTCTAGTACACTGTAAATCAGAAAGATCTGTTTTAGCCCTAAAAATAGGGGCCGCCGTTTCGATGAGTAAAATGTAGTCCTTTTTTGGAGGTCTAACTTGGCTCCCTTAATGAGGGCCAATACGGTCCAATTACCTAGGGCTGATTTGGACCTAAGGGGCCCCAGAGTGGGGTGGAATAGCCTTTTGATGGGGCTGTTTTGGCTTAAATTGTGCTTAAATGGCTCCAGGAGGGGCTGAATCAGCCTGCAGGGCTGAATTGGCACTTTGGGGTTTTTAATTTTCATTGTGATAAGGGTACAACAGGGTCAGAAACGCAAACGTCGAAAGACATACAGCCATAACAAGCAATTAAGCGATTAAGGTCATGGAAAACAGGAGAAGGTCACTGAGAAAGTCTTGGAAAAGTCGTGGAATTTGATGAGCTCAAAAGAGTACGAAACCGGTAGAAACAAGTGTTTACACCAATTTATTCAAATTCTTTTTATGTGTTCAATAAATTGTGTCTACGATTTAACCATTGCTTGCTCTTTTTCATGTTAGATTCTCTGATGTAGGCACTCCAGTTACTGTTGATTCAGTGGGGGTTGTAAGAGTCCTGTCCCGTTCCTTTGGTACTGCCATATGGTCTCCTGTTTGCATAACTAAGAGCAATGTAAGTTCTCACACACATTGATATGGAACCGAGAGAATTAATTTCGTGCATTCAAACTCGGATTTTAAACACCACAAAATCATTCAGCCACGGAAATTTGTTCCCTCCAAACGCCGAATAATACAAAGAAATAGTGGGTGATATACGAACATTTTTTTTCGAGATACCTCTGCCAAACTGAGGCAGTTTCAGACTCCATGAAGGTCGTGAGGAAAGCGCATCGAGAAAAGTTGCGCGAAAACCGCGTGGGGGTTGGGGAGAGACGGTGTAATAGAACCTGTAAGCATCGTTTTCAATTCGTCTTTCCGGTAAACCAATCCTATGATTGGTTAATTGTGACAGTTTACTTCAACACGTACCTCAGTCAATCATTTGGCTTCGCGAGCACAGAGTATAACAAACATGTCGAGCATGTGAAACCCTCCTGCACTGCACCTTTTGACGTTTTGACATTTGACATTTTGACGCGAGAAACGGTTTTTCAGAAAGTAGGCGGATATTTGAGGTATTTGAAAAAATGCTTTCAGGCTCTCCCCTTCTCTATTCCCGCCGTTTTTCGCCTGTTCGCTATTTGACTACTCGCTGGCTTGTTTCGCTTGTCCGCACTGATCGAGAGCCTGGCACAGGCTACCTCTGCCACTAATTGAAGGAACATCATGATTTCCAGCTTACCTGGCTGCTACTTTAGTTAATGTCAAACGCTTGCTACAGGGTTATTTCCGGCGTTCCGGCTATGTAGTTATCACTTTTAAACTCGCGCTGCCGAACGTTGAAGTTATGTTTCTCCACGTATTTTCGCGTACCAAAGACTTTTTTGTTTTGTTTGTTTTTAACAAGAAAAATTAAACTGAGTAATGTTATTCGACGTTTCGATGTTTCTAACATCGTTATCAAGAATGTAATCTGTGAAGTGCCAAAGTTGTTAAAACAGTTGACTTCTTGATATTAATGTTAGAAACATCGAAACGTCGAATAACGTTACTCGGTTTAATTTTTCTTGTTAAATGCTTTAACAAGTAACTGACCATCCGCTTTATTTTTTCAGATGAAGAATAAATCAGACAATTACTGGGTTGTTGGTTTGGATGAAAAAAGCCAACAAATAAGGTGAGTTCTGTTAAGCACATTTTTGCCTATCTGTTGATGTAGGTTAGAAATCTCAAGTCAGCAGTGAAATGCTCAGTTTCCAATGTATTTACCTTTTGGGTCTTCTGGGGAGTTTTCCTATTTGGGCCTTTTTTAATTACTCTGGAAGGTTTTAACAGATTTTAATTTGTCAAATAGGGGCGAATTTTCCTGGAGTTGAATTCTAAAGAGTTGCATCCAAGTTCAAAAAAGACAAAGGAAAATTTTTCGTGGTGTTTTCACGTCCTCCATAAAACATAGGATTAGGAAGTCTCAGGTAAAAGTCGTGCAGGGCCAGACGTGGAAGAAAAAAATACCTTAAAGTGTGATTCAGAACTGTTGTTTTGCTGATAAATCTTTTTTTTTTTTTTTCTTTATTGTTGTCGTTGCCGTCGTCGTTGTTTTTGCTTGAGCTCTCCATTCATACAATTTCGTTATATGTCATCACTCTTGATTCTTAGGTGCATCTACTGCAAAGGGTCTTCATATCCCCCTACCTTACCACGCCCTGTACTGGTACTGCTCCCATTACAGCTTCCGTTATGTGAAATGGCAACAGAGAAAGGACAGTTAGAGGTACTATAGGAGATACGCTAGTACATTTAACTGCACATAGTTATCGTTCATTAGAAGTAACTGTTAACACGGTATCAAGGCGTAAGGTTGTCTGTTTAATTCCTGAAGCAGTCAGTTTGTTCCATTGAAATTTTACTACACATAGCCCGATAAGATGTGTTAGCTTTAGTTTTGACCGTGTTTAAATGAAAGTCGTTGTTGTTGTTGTTGTTGTTACTACTTGAATATGTGTCTCCTCTGAGTGATGTCCTCTCAAAGAAACTTGGAGGAAGGCGTGAGGACGTCTAAGTGTGGTGACTGGAAAGGTTGGAGAGGAAGAAGAAACGGCCTGACAAAATTTCTCATGTAGTAGTATAACTTAACTTATTTTCTCGGTCCGAAATGAAAGTTACGTGTTCTTATTTTTTGCCCTCCATTTATGGCTTAAGCGCGAACTGAACAACGGGATCTGTAACTTACAATACCGACCTCGAACCCGGTTAGTAAGTGGTTTTAAATACCAGGAAATGACTTTTTTAAAATCCTTACAGGTATCAAATAATTAAAACAATATTAGCAAGTAGAAAGTGTTCAAATCTATTTTGACTATTTTTCTCGCAGGAAGCATACGTTCGATCAAATATTTTACTTGGAGCAGCTAATGAAGAGGACAGTGATGGATTCCATGAAGCATCATCACGCATCGAGACCGCGCAAATTCAGGGCATCATGAAGTTATTTGCTGTAAGTTCTTTGTAGTTTTGAAAATGTCCGAAAATGGGAAAACATTTTTTGTTTCATAAACTTACGTCTGTTACCTAAATAAAAGATGTAGAAATGTTAGTCTGTTGACTGCTATTTTTCTGCGGAGGCAGAACTAGCCCTTTAGTATCATATTCGGTATCTTATAGATTATTTTAACTATCATTTTGTGTTATCGTAACCGGATCCCGAACTAAAGGCTCCACGTTTAACGTTTCTTGGTTTAACCCTGGATTTAACACAACCATCTTTCGAGGAACTGGGCCCTGGTTTTCACTTAGCACTTAAAAACAAACGCAAGGATAAAAATCCTTGTTTAACTGTCTACTCCTTTAAAAATGACAGTGGAATGAAATAAATGTTCTTATTTTTGTTTTCTGTTTTCTGTTATTCAGCTGGCTTGTAAGAGTGATAGAGAGTTTCGTGCTGCGGAGCTGTGTGAGCTATTGCCTGATGCCCACTCTGTAAGTAATGAAGTTTTACCTGTTGAAAACATACAGTCATAGTTACTAGTACAGGGGCTATGTTTTTGATAATAGAGACCTTAGTTCTAAGACGAGGACGACTACGAAAACGAGATTTTTTCAATACTAAGTAGTGCGCGCGCGTGAAACATTGTCTTTTTGGCGGGAAAACGTGATAGCCGTCGCCATCCTACGGCGAGATTTAGCGAGAATGCTGTGGTGGCGGAAACAAGTTCATCAAATTTTTCAAGGTTTTATCATTCTGCTATCGGTAGAGGGCTTAACCTCCTTCAATAGAGATAAAAGTGCCATTTCTTTGGTGAAAAAAAAGGAAGCTTTCCGGGGTGTCTTATTTGGGAATACGCGAAAAACCCTTACGTCAAATTTCGTCGTCGAAACCTAAGGTCTGCAATAAGAGTTGAGGAGCCGACCATTTAATTTGAGGGGTAAGGGGTGGGTCGATGATAGGTGCTTAGTGGCGAGAATTCTTTTTGGCATTCTACGAATGTGATCGAGTTTGTTTCTTAATTTTTGATACAAGTATAACACTATAAACTTGATGCAAGTCTTTTTTTGGTTCCAGATCTGTTATCTGTTTCTTTTTTGTTTTGTTTTGTTTATTTTTTTTTCGTACTTTTTTAAATCAGCAAACCTCCTTCCTCCAAAATTTTCGCTGCAGTTCATGGAGTGACAATTACCGGTAAATTCTTGTCTTCCCTTTTTTTCAATAGGTGAGCCTAGCCATAAAATATGCCGCACGCAGTCGGCGAATGAACCTAGCCAAACGATTGGATGATTTAGCGCGCCAAAAGGCAGCACTTGAGGCTGACGAAGAATCCGATGATGAATATCAACAAGCTGATTGGCCAATTCGACAGAGCTCCAGGATAGCGCCTTCAAGAGGACAAAGTCAGTCGTCTCGCATGGCACCAAGACAAGTGGAACAAGATGAGGAGGAAGAAGAAGAGATGGATGAAAATGAAGTGGATGATGAAATGGAAGAAGATGAGTCTCAAATTTCAAGCAATCAAGGTAAGGTTGCCCTCGTAGCTCAATTGGTTAGAGCTCTAGTAGATCTAATCCAGGGCCGGGTTGTTAAAACTGGGTTAAAATCACCCAGGGTAGTGCGAAATTATACTTTAGATATGAAAGCTGTCCTCCCCAAGTTTATAATTAGATGAGCTTGAAAAGGAAACGAGGGTTAAAATTTAACCCCGGGTTAGAGCTAATCGGCCTTCGAATGACTGAGCCCAGAGCTCAAATCTCAATGGGTGAAAAATATTCTCGTTGACTATCCCAGTTGGCTAGTGAGGTATCTCACTTTACTTTCTAGGACACGCAGTTTAGAAAGAATTGTCAGGAGTTCGTACTTGTCACAAGTCATTTTATTTCACCCCACTTGGGTGCTATACGCGTTACACATTTGCTTCCCAGGTATTTTTCAAGTCAAGGTGTGATCCTTTGAATGTAAACAAGGATTTAGTTTTATAGCTTGTCATATTATGGCAAGCTGTAGCTAGGATGTACTAGCCCGAAATTTAGATAAGTAGGATTGATTACAGTTCTCTAGTAAATTGAAGAAGGTTCGATTATATGAACAAACTGCAGTGCTATAGATCTGAGTCTAACTTTCTATGTTGTACTTAAATTGCACACATGCTGCGTTTTTATTGCAGAAAGAAAAGGCTTAGCCAGACTAGATAGCCGGGATCTTGCCTCCAAACAACAGAAACCTAAACCTCCCATGAAGTCAGCACGACCGTCACCAACACCGAAGACGAGTTTTAGTTCAAGTCAAGGCCGCTCTAATCCTTTCAGGGTTGGAAGCCAAGAAAAGAAAACCTCGGGAAAAAGTTTCTTTGACAGTGTAGAGGAGGAGAAGAAATCTTTGCTGATGAACAAAAACAAGATATGTAAGTCTAGTTCACAGGCGTCTTCATAAAAAATCTGATTGTAAATTTAACTGCGGTGTTATAGTCTTCTTACTTTTTCGAACTTCAACAAGATACAGTTAACCAAAGGGTTAAAAAGTAGACTATCCACGTCATATTTCATTAAACTATGAATTTGAACCATTATTATATCTGTTAAAAGATCTAAGCAAATTTCTTAGAACTTAATTAGAAGTGAAATGGCAGTGGTGATGAAAATCAACATGATGAAAATAAGGAAAAAAAAGAAAAGGGAAAGAAAAAAAGAGAGTTGGTCAAAGACCAAAATCAACTTCAAACCAATGCTGCAAAAATGTTCAATTACCCTGGGGTTTTTAATGGTCAATTGCTTACTTCAGAAACTCTAAGGGGCATGGGTACAAGCTTTGGATGCAGTGACTTGTGGGATTGTTTGGGTGGACAAGTGTTAGTTATGATTGGTCAATGATATTCAAAGCAACCATTAACCAATCCTAAATAATGCCTGTCCACCAAAACCAACCATTAACCAATCATAAATAATGCCTGTCCACCAAAACCCACCATTAACCAATCATAAATAATGCTTGTCCACCAAAACCAACCATTAACCAATCATAAACAATGCCTGTCCACCAAAACGATTCCAGAATCGTTGCGCTGAGTGTTTGTAGCCATATTTACCAACTGATTTATGCAAACCTTGGAATAAATAAACAAATGAATAAATAAATAAGCAAATACACTGCCAAAATTAACAGTTGTAAATGTAAACGAGGCTGGAGTTGATCTTGTCTTCATAAACCCTTCCTGCTTCATTATGTAAATCATGTTGTTCTTATGTTATGTAACTTATTCTTATGTTATGTAACTAGTATTTCTTAAGTATAATTTTCGAAAGAAAAGGAAAGAGGTTTGTATCAAATTAAGGTCAACCTCGGCCTCACGTTCACCCAAAGGCTAGGATTCTAAGCTCTCAACTGTTAAATGGTCTATATATGTGTGTCAATCTCTTTGTTACAGCTCCTGAATCCAAGGTAAATCAGAGGAAAAGGAAGGGAAAGCAAACGACACTGATGAAAACTCCGCCTGGGAAAGAAAAACCTCAAGCTGAGGCCGACAAGTCAGCATCAGAGAAAGAACAACTTGAAAAGAAAAAGTCAACCGCTAAAAAGTAAGTCCATTTACAAAAACGTAGAAATGGCAGGTTCTCGTTCATACCTGAAACGCTCCCCTTTCGTGCCACGGCAATTTTCCAAAATTTTCTTTTTTTAATTTCTGCGCAGGAGAAAGCAATTTTGACGTAGTGCCATTCGCAAAGGTTTAAACAAAAGTTTTGTTTACTTTTTTACAGAGTCAATGGATTCAACCTTTGGTTTAGCGACAATAAAGCGGTTTTAACGGAAGACAACACGGAGCTGTCCAGCGGAGATCTTGTTAAATTAGCAATGCGAACATGGAAAGCACTGAGCGATGAGGAGAAAGCAAAGTGGAACAACAAAGCTAAGGAAGCATCTGTTGACCAAGAACAAGGGGAGAAGAAAAGAAAAAGAGACAAATCTGATGATGAAAATGAAGATATTACAAATAAACTGAACCAAGCTAAGAAGGCAAAAGAAATCAATAATTCAGCATCTAAGCTGGCTGGATTTGCTTACAGTAAAAAAGATTGAATACATTGTAACGGACGGAACTTTTCTTGATCGTCCGCGTCCACATTCTGACAAACTAAATGCTATTTAAAAGCATTAACGAAATTGTGAACCGTTCACGTACATTCAGAAGATTTGTTGAAAGAACTTTTTTCTCTAAGGCCCTTTTGAAACGTCGTGTTTAACATGTGTCGCATCTAATGCGAATAGGCGGTAACAGTAGATTTTCCTCGTTAGTAAAATCCAACTAGTGGTCTATCATCAATTCTGTGTTCTGATTGGTTGAGCTACTACTAGGCTATATGTTATAGCCCACTGGTAGAGAAAAGCGCCGGCTTTGAAAACCAAAACAATGGCTTTAAGTCTAGCTTTAACTAGCTCAAGTTGTTTTGTCTCGATGTTTTTTTACCAACTAGTTGGATTTTACTAAAACAATTATTCCTCGAGCCCTCCTGGCCTTTGAGTCAATAGCCCATGAGGCCTTCGGGCTCGAGGAATAATTGTTAATTAGCATTTAATTGGGCTCATGAGAAATGCGACGTTTGAACCGGGCTTAATTCAGACTAATAAATGGATCAATTCTCTGGGAAACTGTCTACCTACCCCTCCCCTAAGCTAAGTAACATTACCACTTACCTCTCACTTAAAGCAAAATGATGGCTTAGGGGAGGGGTAGGTGAGCAGTTTTCCAGAAACTTAAATGGATCCAACTAAATGCTAGTTTTGGAAGCAGATACCTGGGACACCTTTAAGGGACACCTTAGTGTTGGTCATTCCGAGGCTGCGCGGGAGACTGATTCACTTTTGCGACGAATTGCACTTTGGGATTGTTTCAGGCAGACCGGTATCACGAGGTTGCGCAGGAAAGTGCGTTAAAACAGTCACATAATGCGAAAGGCCATTACCGAGTTTCCCCAAGTCTCTGCTTCAACTCCCAACATTGTGGGCTCAACAATTAATAAAGGAGTTAATGAAACCTCTATGAACCATGGACCAATTTACAAGCGCAATCATTTAATGTAAGGAGCTTCAAAGTTATTAGCCTGCGAAGCGCAGACGTATTTCTGGTCGTCTAGAAGCGACGACCGGAAATACGTCTGCGGTTCGCTGGCTACAAAGTTATTCACTTAATATTTGCCCAGTTAAGAAGAAAAAAATGTTTACAAAGCCACTTGTAAGAGCGCCTCAATACATACTAATCAAATCCTTCTTTCTAGCAATCGGCTAAAGCTATCTCCATGATCTCTCACATTTTTAAAAAAGTTGAAACTACTATGAGGTGAAATTTCATTTCAAAGGCGCTTCGTTTTCTGCAAATAACGGTCGAACATGACGACTGTCCAGTTTAAACCCTATTTCTGACCATAAAAACTTCATTCCATAATATCTCGATAACACGCATAGATTTTGCTTAAGGTGGCTGAACACAGTTTTGGCAGTTTCTGAGTATAGGTCATTTGCCAAATTATGGCAAGAGAAAGGTTGCAGCTCACAAGCTGAAACTTGGCAAGTGAAAAAAATAATGATGAAAGATTTTGACTGGCAGGTAAAATTTGACGTTTTCGTAGTTTCCATGACAACATTAACGATTGAATAAAACCTTAAAATTTCACTTTTACTCAGTTTACATAAAATTCGCTCATTAGATTTTCCTATAAACTCGCACACAGCTTACTATAATTAATCATTACTATTTGAAACTTATTTGACCAAATTTTAACAGAGGGGTTTTCAGATAATCAATAATATAATTGTACTGTAATTATTAAATGTGTCACAAAATTCGTCTGTTCAACTCCCATTTTAAAGTTCTCATTATTTAAAATACGATAAAAGTAAAAATTCTGCCAAATATCACAAAATTTTAATGAGTATATTTTGAGAAATCGTCTTCTGTGTACCATTGCTTTTTTCGTCGCCATGTTTGTTTCTCTAATTTAAAACATGCGCTACCGCTGACCGCCCGCGAAACTGTGTTCAGCCACCTTAATCGTCACAAGAATGGACGCGGCTATTGGATGAAAAAGCGTCCGTTAACAATTTCGGAAGAAGAGTTCTTAAGGTGGCTCCCTAGAGTAAATTGGCCGTGCGCAGCCTGAGCACTAGTATGGCGCGAGCTTTAAAACCCGCGCGCCTTCCACGCAAAAATAAAACAAACATGACCTCTTTGTTTCAAAATTATTCCCCCAAAAAAACTTTATTAACTTTCTGTTGAAGTTCACTGTGCAAAAAGTTAGTGTACGTCAAACATTTATGAGAGGAGACAATGTTAAATTACACCGGTTACAAGTCACTATCGATCTTAACAAGAGTAAATTGTATGTAAAAACGAAGCAGAAATTTTCCAAAGACATCAATTCTTTCGCTTCAAAAGGAGACAAACGTAAAATAGTCGAAGAAAATTGTGAATGGAAACTTTACAAAGAAAACAAAGAAATAAGTACACTAAACCTAAACTACTGTTACTGTTTCTGGCCTTTGGTTCACGGTCAGTGAAAAGATCTGAACGATCGAGCCAAGTCCCGAACAACCACTGAAGAATGTCTTCATCGGCGGCGTTCCTCGGTCCCTTTCATTTCTCTTACATTTCATTTGATTAAAAATTCTAGAAGTGGCTTTAAGGCAAGATTACAGCAAGTATAAATTTTTTTTTTGCCGACTCGATCACATTGTTTAAAAAACTTATCAGAAGTGGTTAACTTGCATCCTGATCGAAGTAACCTTTCCATCGACGAACCAACATCCTTGTACTTTTTCCTTTCCAAAAGTTCTTTAACGCGCAAGGTGCACTAGAAAATGTGGTTGCACAACGAAAAATAATTTTTGAGTCACAGATTGACCCTTGACGAAAGCAATAGTAGGTTATCCGTCGAGAACTACGATCTTGTACGTGCAGCTGAGGACGTGATGTACTTTTAGCTTTTTTTAGATCGGCGCCATCTTTTACAGCAGGCTTTTAAAGAAAAACTTCGCCTTCGAAATTATCTCTCAAGAGGAACAAGGTTGAAAAAGTATCCGGAAGTGGGCTGGCATCTGAAGATCTTCAAACAGTCGGTACAGCACATTAGGAAATAAAGGGCTTATCGCGATCCTTGCAAAACCACCGTCTTCATCTCCGATGATCGCCATCCGCACGAGTAGTGACCACCATGCCACGGCCAGAATTTCGGCTGCAATGGTTAAGTATTTCGAAGAAAACATCCAGTGTTTTGTATGAGATTGAATCCCCTATCTCTCCTTTTTCAACAGCCGAAATATCACCGTAATGATAGTGATAAAAAGCTTTAACAATGGCTTTGTACTTTTCGAAGAAATCACATGTTTTCAGTTATGTGCGTTATGCGCATGCGAGCGCGATGGCTCGCGCGCGTATTTTGCTCATACGACCCCGAACCACGCGTGTTTTTCGGATTTTTGTGACGTCAGCGCAGTTAATTAAGCAACCAGGACAACGACAACGTATAAGCAAAACAACAGCTCTGCACGTGCATCACGCTTTTTAGTACCTTTCAATGACGTCGATCCACTGCACGAATACGACGTGAAACCTATGTAATGCAACGTTTTATGCATGGAGGACATGAACATATGACGACGAATTTTTTCTTAGCTTTTTTTTTCGAACCTGGATAAAGTCCTTAAAAATTCATCTCCGAGAAAAATCGCCTACAATTGACAAATTGAGCGAGTCCAAAAAGACGCGATGACTTTAAAAGGACTCAAAATTATTTTCATAGCGACGTTTTCACAGCCGTAGTTTTGCTTTGTTTGCAACAAGTATGAATTCTAATGTATCGAAATTAGTCTGTTCGCAATTTTCACATCTCCCCCAATACACTTTGTTTGTCCCCACCCCCCGAAACATTTTGCATTAGCATTGTCAACTGCTCGTTCCCAGGGTTTTTTCTTTTGCTTCGAAGAGAGACAACTCTCTGAACCAGGTTGAAGCATTGTCTTTAATTTCCCTTGGGACGTTTCCAATATCCAGGAGGAATCATTGAAAAACGAGAAGACCATGGGGACGACGTTGAACAAGGGTATAAAAGTTGAGGAAAAGGCAAACAAGGTGTCCCAAAATGCACTTTGAAACCATCTGAACCCGCTCTTCCCCGCAACCTCAAAGTGGCTAATTATGGGAGATGTGGAAATGGGAAAAAGACCAATTTCGATACATTAAAATTCATACTTGGCTCCAAGCACAGCAAAACTAAAACTCAATGGATGTAATCTACTAAGGAGAGAATATCTGCTAGACTTAACATCCCTTCATATCCTGAGGTAGCTGCATGCCCGGGGTTACTCCTAGAAGTGGGGGTGCGCCGACCCTATTTCAGGCCAAAAAATGTCATTTCCCACGCCCGTTTTCACATCAGACCTCTAAAATCCATACCCGTTTTCAGACCTGCCCTTTAGGCAGAAATTGCGTCATCAATACTTAGATTAGAGCTCAGACAAAAAAATTCTTCAAAGGGATTTCGAATTCCCATATTTCTATTTCTTTCTTATTCATTTAGAACTGAAACGATAAATATGTTCATTCGCTCCCGTAGTTCCCTCGAAAACCATACCCGATTCCAGACCAAAATGGGCAAAGTCTATTCACGTTTTCAGACCAAAAAGGCCCAAAAACCATACCCTTGGGGGCGGCACATACCTATCTGGCTTATAAAAGAGAGTAAACCCCCCCCCCCCCCCCCCCCCCAACCACCACCACCACCACCACTACCACCCCGGCTGCATGAGAAACATGCAAATTCAGAAATTCAGACGAGACATTAACATACGGGTAAGCATGTTTTAACCTTGTTTTAAATCTAGAAATTATTTTGACTGAAAAAGTAAAACAATTAGTGATCTCAGAAGGAACACCCTCCTCGACTGCTCCATAATTCTTCAAGTCATACTCCACCTTATCCAATAACTGCTAATGAAACTTCATTAAGGTTCTTATAAGTGGATTCGCACTGGACTTTTCTAGTACACATGAGACTAACTTGTGTGTGAACGGGTCCTGTTTCGCTTGACTGATCTTGATTAGTCGTACTTAGTTGCCAAACAAACTTCAAAACCTCAGAGTGTCGAGATGGGCTCTCAAATAACGTCAAAATCTTCCCTGAGACTGCATTTATCCAATCAAAGCGTCGGAAGTTTAGGGACGGACCATTAGAAATAACCGGAAGTGGGGTGACAATTTCGTGTACTGAAGTTCCCGCCCTAACTTCGCACTTTAACTTAATTAGTGTGAACGCCATTTTTTTTGCTAAAAAGCTTCAAGTGCACGTTAGGCTCCAGTGTGAACCCACCTTTGAGGTGACTTTCTTCAGTAACAAAACATGAACCTTTTGCAGATGCGTTGTGTGTTTCTAATGCATACGAGTGCTATGAACTTGAGCCGCCGAGAACATCATGCAGAAGTTCTTGTGATTATGGCGAGCATGCATGCTGCCCATAGTGAGTTTTAGCAAATGTATTTATTGGTTATAAGAGACCCCCCGAACATACGATGAATAATATTACGACGACTCGGGTGGGCTTGAGTTCGAATTTCACCTGGTTATGTTAGATTTCTCCTTGTTCCAAGTTTATACAAATCACGTGAGAATCCCCGGCGATAAGATCCTTTAAACCGTTAAACCTTGATGGACGTTCTCTTTATTGGAAGAGAAATACTATTGCAGAATAACCACTGAAAACAAATAGCGTTGAGTCTCGCTTGCTTGGAAATAAGATGAGAAATGAACAGGCGATTAGACCGCGAGAGCTCGTCCTTCTTTCTTCAGAGCCAAGCGCTGCAAGCGAATAAGTAAAATTTTGCTCTCGTCTAAACTTTCTTTTAAGAAAGTCTCTTCCTCGTCCCCAGTCGCTCGCGATCACTTTTTGGGGACGCGGGCTCTATGCTCGTCCCCATCACCCCCACCCCCTCCCCCCTCTTCCCCCTCTCGCGCTTCTCGCTTGTCTCCAGCTCTCGCGTGTTCCTCAATCCCCAAAGCCTTGGGAAAGCCTGTGGAGGAGGCAGGGAAAACAGGGTTCCCAC